TATTTATGATAAATATAAGTTTAAATCTTAATTGGGGGGTAAATATTTACCTTAATGCCCCTTTTTCGTGGATAGAGCCCCCCGCCGCCATATTTGGCGTGTACAAACAGCTCGCAATTTGCACACCAAAATGGCGGATCGTGACCTCCATGAAATTAACACATGCGGGATGGTCAGTTCCCAATCTTGCGCCGCTGTGCGGCGCTAGCTATACAATCTTTGATGATGATCAGGATCTCTCCGTCCAGGCGTGCTTCAGTATAGCACTAGTATGTCTGTGGAACAAACGCCAGCGTGTTATTGTTTTATGGCATACCATCTGTGAAACTTAATTTCATTAATTTCTTGGTCATGCGTAACTGTGGGTTATTTTGCAGTTTGTGTTTTCTGTAAATTTTCATGTATCGATTTCAGGTGATTCTGATGTATTTTAAAGAGTGTTTTACCATAATGCGACGAGATAGTACTTGGTACCCTCCTAAATCCTCCACCGGCCCGGGGGCGAGGAGGCCTTCAGGAGAGCTGAATGGTGGGGGGGGGGGTTGTTGCAGAAGTTTTTTTTAGGACAATTCCTGATAAAGGCGAATCAATGGCGATCTGATGAAGATTGTTTCATGCCATTATGGTTCTTTGATGAAGTGAGTTTTCAAATGCTGATGATTAAAAATGGGTTCTCTTTAATTTATGTTATCTAATTTTTTTTGCTTCTTGATCCCTTGCTGGATTGTATGCTGTAACTAGTATAATGACAGCTTATATTAGTTGTGAATGCCTATATCTGTGGTAATCGTTTCAAGTGGAGGGTGTCCCAGGTTGGAGTCGCCAGCACTCTACTGTTTCTAAAGCAGTCTCCACAAACAAATCTCAGGCTGACAGTTGCTCTTTGCAGATTCTTGAGATACGATATGCGGTTCGCTATGTATAGGTTTACACTGAGTGCCAACTTGAGTAGAGCTTCTCTTTAATGGATCTGGAATGGAAGTCACACTTAATGAAATTGGCAAGTAGGCCCTACTCTTGATGCCTAATTGGTGAAAGCACGATTCATTAGCTTCTACCATCTAACTAAAAGATCGTGTTCAGTGATTACCGTCACCCCGGCAGAGTAGAGTTAAATGCCCAGTGGTTTGAGCCAAGTTAAAATAATAAACATTGGGATTAAAAAGAGAATCACTCCCCTCGAAGAATACCGTTACAGATCAGAGCAGTGGTAATTAATTCACGCACTGACCAAGTGTATCTTTCGTACTTTGTCACTTTATGCGGAAATTTATTTGCACATTGGAAGAACCTCAAACTTTGCCAAAATTGAGACTTTTTTTCTCTGCAGATCTTTGGCGGATTTACAGCGCCCTCAATATTTACTCTGCGAACCTTTCAAAATGGCAGCGCCCGCAACCCAGCTTATAAAAGATATTGCGAGGCATATATGCGTCAATACGTATGAAGATATTTCCCAACGTTCTGCGCAGTGAAGGGCTTCCTAGATTCTCCTTAATATTAAGCCTCTGAGGTTATCCCGTGCTACGTACAGCGTTGAGTTTGCAACCGTGCTAGGCCTAGGAGTAGGAAGCATACCGTCATGACCGCACGTAGCTAGGCCTACCTGCCTACTGCTGATCTAGGCCTACATGTACATCATGATCTAGTCAAGACCCAGTGCTTGGGCCATGCTTGGAGTAACGTTATGGTCGGTTGATAGTACAGGTAGGCCCTACATGTTGATAAAAAAGCGATTCCTGGAGTCCAAGTTACTTGGGCTGCTGCTGATGTACTAAGTAAATGGCCCTGCCACTCTTAAATATTTGGCGTCTTGAGTACTTGCTGGACATGCTAGAGCAACGTTTACCGCAGATTTCACAAAAACTGAAATTTCCTCAAGCTGTCCACATTCTTGTTCATACGGAAATGAATTTATGTACATACCCAGGGAGTACAAATATCCAAAGAAATTCTATTTTGGCCGTAATTCACAATACAATGAACTCTTTTAAAATGCACCCAAAGGTATGAAAATAGTTTTCTTACAAGCTTGGATTGGGTATGTCATGTATAGGCCCTACGTGTATGTGAAAAATCTCAAATGTTCTAGAGAAATGCAGCAGTGTGTCTGTCTGTTTCCCTCAAAAATAAAACCAGGTTGAGAAAGATTATAATATCATCATGTTTCTTCCGGCAAACTTTAATTCTCGATTCTGATTGGTCAATCCACGGAAACAAACTGTAACATGTATCAAACTCGATGTAATATGCTATTCTAATTCAAACAATGCGTTAGAAATGGAGATCAGTGTTCGTGTCAAGTTGGCTTGAAAATCCGTTACCACACTTGTGCTTATGGACTACAGAATAATGTGTGTCCACTACCCCGTATTCGGGATAGTGGTATATGGGAAGCAGATGCACTGCACTATTTTGTGTTCTGCTCGTGCTCATGTGATAACTAATTGTATGACTACAACGAAATATGCTCTCTGTTCTAATATGCAATATGAATTGGCCACAAGGGGTGTTTTTGTTCTTTGTTTGAAAAAGGTTGAAAATAGATATACATGTACAGTGTAGTTTTGAATTGATTTTTCGATTATAAATTACCCCAAAACATGTCTATGCGTAAACAACATTTGCTACCTTGAGGACTGATCTGCTAAATGAGGCGCATTAACCCATTCGTGTTCATACTAGTGTGGTGTGCTGCTGTTGAAGATGTTGCATATTGTAAATTTATATTTATTACATTTTTAATTTCACGGGAAACAAGTCTGAAGCAATTAGTCTGGTGACTCCAGGACTGGTGCTGCTTATTCTACCATGGCTTCCAGTAAATGCTTCTTGAAGAACTGTACGTCACTGGGTATCATCACGAGAACCCACTTGAGTGTACACCAAAGACACCATACAACCTTTCTCTGTTCTGCAAAGACTTGCAGTTGGGGCATTGGTGCGAGACACTATGCAAGCAGAGTGATTGTCAGGGAGCCCTTGAGCAGGATCCTCCTACGCGAGCTTCGTCACCGGTTCTCCAAGCCAAAGATGAAAACGCCCCCCTACGACCATGTCTGCCAGGTCGGGGACCCCATCCTGCGTGGCCAGAGCTCACCCGTCGATCCCCGTCAGATCAAGTCGGCCGAAATCCAGAACGTCATCAGGATGATGACCAAGGTAATGCGGAGGGCGGGGGCAGTCGGCTGTGCAGCCCCCCAGGTGGGCGTGGCCAAACAAATCGTCGTGATGGAGTTGACTGAAAAGCATCTGGAGAGGTTTGAGCCTGAGGTGAGATAACGCTGAGGTTTGATATCAGGAGTTACTTCCTTCTCAAGTCATTTTAGTGCCTGTTCTTCATTTTTGTCTTTATCATTTTGAGCTACTTCAATGAGATGGGTCTATCTGTTCAACAGTAATGATGGTACTTATAAATGTCAAGAGTATTGTTCAGTAGAAATCATTTATTAGCATTGTTATTAGAGGAAGAATTTGATTTTAAGGTTTGGGTCTGGTTCAAGAAAGGATTTGGGTCATTCTATAAATTCAAGGTCCAGAAGCGTTACATTTTTATGTCCCTGTTACACTTTAAATAACCAGGTAATTTGACATGGAAATATCACTGAAATTGTCTTCAAACTATTTTCTGTTTGTTGGCAGGTACTTTGCATTAAGTCATCACTCTCAAAATTAGAGAAGAAGTTCTCAACTTGCACAGTCATGTGTCAGGCGTGACAGGGACATGAAAAAAATTGGATCCCTAAATGATAGAATGACCCATTTTAAAAAATTGAGGTTAGCGAAAATTGAGATGGGGACGGTAAAATGATGACAAATTGTTGTGTATCTTAGTTAGCACATTTGTTGTGGTTGTTAAGAGTGGGACATTCACATGTTTACATATTTAAACAAGAAAAGTTCCAAATCCATTCACATATTTCCCCAAATTTTTAATTGGAACTGCCCCTTTTAAAGGTTTGACATTTTGATTGATGCAATCCAGCGTTCAGTTTTATTGTAAAGGATGCCTGTTACATACTGTTTTTTTCCCCTTTTGGCAACCATGTACATTTTGAGTAAAAAATGGATTCTAAAACAGTAAAGAATGCTTATTTTAAATGCCCAAACATCAATCTACATTTTTACATAGGTTGGACCATGTGCATTGTTAAACTGTGTTCCTAGCTCTATGGTATAACCAAGCATATATGAAAACACCAAGGCAGGCAGTGGCAAACTCTTTAAAGTGTTGGCTCAATGTTTAAAAAGTATGGGAAAGTTTTTGTAAACGTTTCTCAAACAAAACGTAAATTCCTACCCTTAGTGGTATTACTGCAGTTTTAACTTGTGCATGTATACATTCTGTGCAAAGAGTGATACCACCACAGTGATAACTTCTAAGTTTGGTCACTGAATTAGCCTCTAAGGCCTTTATTGATTCATTTGAAAAATGGCAAAGAGCGTTAACTGCTGTGACGGTTGATGACCGTGCATGTACATCACTGCAGAGGTGGTGGTGATAGTGTTGATGACAAGCATGAAGGATTCTGATGATGATAATTGATGTTGATGATGGTGAACTTGCAGAGGAGGAATGCAATTACAGTGATGCCAGGGCAGCAACTGACAACTGTACACAGGTTGCCTTTCATGAAAAACAAATTTGGAAAGAGGTTTTTCAAGAAACTTTCACTCTTAATCCTCTTGCTTGAACAGTCACAATGAAAATCTCCTTCCTTCTGCGCATCATAGATATGTCACTTCACTAATTTTGACTGAAAGGACCGTGTTGTCTGCAGTGTACATGTACAGGTATTTAAGCATAGGAGAGTCAATTAATTAATTGCCTGAAGGGTTTCATCAGTAACCAGACCCTGTCTTTTCTCATCACCTCACTACAGGTCCTGAAGGCAAGAGAAGTGGCACTCTTCCCTCTGACGGTCTTCATCAATCCACATATGAAGGTCACTGACCCCAGGGTCGTGACCCTACTGGAAGGCTGTTTGAGTATCTCTGGCTACGATGCCTGCGTCCCACGATACTATGGCGTGGAGCTGACGGGTGATGATCATTCAGAATTTGCACCGTAGGGGCCTTTTCACTCAACTGTAGTAACAATATCCAGGGGGATGGAGGAGGTAGGGGGGGGAGAACATGCTAGTTTTGTTGGTCTGTTGCCAGCAAACACGTGTACTGTCCATTTTAAACATGAATATCAAGTTTTCGGTATTTATAGCTTACTTGGTTGTGCAGAGGACTCTGAGCTTTATGGCGCTTTTTATTTCTTCTCATTTGCTGTCGGTGATCCGAGAGAATGGCCCCATAAATACAAGTTCTCAGAACTGTGTTTATGCCTCTTTTCACGTGAGGGTTAGTCCTGAGCATCTTGCAGTGTATAGTGCAGTCAGCATCTCTTCTGAAATCAAATTGCAATGTTTGTTATAGTGATCAATCTAGAAAGTGGCCCAAGCTCCATTTCAACTCCTGGTTTGTGCCTGCTGACTGCTTAGACTTTGTGTGGGTGTGTGTGCTCAAGGAAAGTGGGCACAGGGGTGTATAAAGGCTAGTTTCAGGGGGCAGAAGTGTGTTTGACATTTTAACCTGTGAGTCGAGCCTGTGTATACAAATGACCAGATCGTGTTCAGATGTTCTCTAGTGCAAAGTCTCAGTTTTGATTATTTGTTTTTTGCTCAGGATTGAATGAGCTTGGCCGGCCGGTTAGTTGGTCAACCACTGGCTACTCTGCCCGAATCATCCAACATGAGGTAGACCACCTCCAAGGCAAGCTCTTTATTGACATAATGGACCCTTCCACCTTTCTGGACAAGGAGTGGCCACGCTGGAATTTGAAGTGATCTATCATTCTTACGTTCGGCTCTTGCTGCGAACACCTAGGTTACTGATCCTGGCAGGTTTGATAGTGAGTGCCCTTATTAAACGCTCAGATGAAGTGCAGTTAAAGGGCCAACTGCTACACGCAACAGTCAAGCTTGGGAGGTAACTTCATTGCTCAGGCTGATGATATCCTCACTCCAAATACGAGAATGTCCAGGGGTCTTACAAAGAAGCAATAGACTTTATTCATAGAGAAGCCATTTTTGATTGTGTTCCTGAACCTACTTTGGTTAGTGTAATCTGTCAAATGGGGTGGTGCCAGACTGTTTTCGGGTTCCATGCTCGACTTTTTTAAATGTTGCTTAAAACATTTAGATATAATAAATCACAAACTTTAAATTATGTTGTCGTAAATGAAATGAAAAGATACGTTTGTTTCATTGCTTTCATTTTTGTTCTTAAGTTCCCGGGTTAAAAAGTTAACCTAGCTTTCAATTCAATATGGCCGACTTGTGAATACAGTGTGTGACAATAGCTTCTTCCCAGAAAGAGTCCACTGGTACAACGTACCACAACCAAGCAGATGTCCATGCCCCCTTCGGCTGCATCCCCCCATTTGAAATCTGTGAATAATTTCCGTTGAAATGAAGCTGCAGCTTGTTTCTTGTGGTGCCCCCTTTGAAAAATGTGTGCACCCCTGGGTATCCCCCGGACATTTAGCCCTAGGGTATACAGTAAAATCCATGGTCGAGATGAACACAATCTGAAATGGCCAGCTGGCTAGTAAGGCCCAATGATTCTAGTTATTCGCTGGCTCTTTGAGATTTTTCACCCAGCTGATGATCACCTGAGCGATCATGACTGCTACCTGTGGCAGAAATCACCAAAGACCCCCCTGTTTTTTAACAAGCTATTTTTAACAGACGAAAAATGCTTTAAGAACTGACAGTAGTTTAATATTACTGTTGTAACTCTTCGGAGTTCTCAAATCCCCTAAAATAACTTTTACTTGCAGTGTGATCTTAAAATGATGGTTATAATTTAGAATATATTTGTCACGGAAGACTGATCACCTCATTTTCATAACCATAAAGACTGGTACTTTTTTTTCTTCTCAAGCCGAGCCAATAGAATTTCTTTGAAACAAAGAAACAAGACTTCTATGTTTCATCAGAGGAAGTGTCAGATATCTCCTTACTCCTTCCCACTTTTCAAAAAATTTTCCACTCGCACCGAAGAATCAATCTGGCTTCCTTTCAGAGGATGCGAGGGGGAGATTGGGTGAATGAGAGCCAATATGGTCTTTGCACGCACAGATGGTGCCAAACGAGGTGTGAATTATAGACCACGCTGCACTTTTTTTTTTAGCGCCAAGCGAACGACGCGCGAAACTCATTACCAACCTCGGATACGTACCTTGGCTGAATGGAGGAAAGTCGTGGGCATATGTGCAAGATATTCACTCAAGTTATTCTTTGGCATATGTTTCTTTCATTTTCTTCTGATCCCAGGGACGAAGTGGCAAAAGGCTTCGAAGATGTTAATGTCTGTGTATTTTGAATCAGTCCATGTACATGTATCCAGGAAAGAGTAACCTTTCTATGGTCTTCTTTGTTCTCAAGCAAAACGAGTAGGCCCTACGTATTAAATGTAATCTCAGGGTGTGATCACAGATGATCTTTGTTTTAGATTCATTTTAATTTTTTTATTAAATCTACAACATTTATTGAGTGTTGGAAACATCAGAAATCCCAAATCAACAATGGACGGGTGAAATAACATACATGTAATGAAATAATAAAATATAGTTACAGGAATTGAAAGAAATGACGTAATTCGCTCAGTTTGGGTCGGATCCTGCCTGTGCAGTCGCAGCTGTGGATTTGTATGGTGGATTTTATGGAAACTACATATCACTATGAGCGTAGGGACACTGTTTCTACACTCCTTCGGTTTTTTCTCTCGAAATCACACTACCGAATGAGCACCGTACTCCTATTCACAATCAATGTCAAATCCGCATTTTTCAACAATCAGTGTGGAACATTTCACGTTTCGCTGAAATGTGGCGCCGAAATTGTGGAATAAGTGTGAACATTTTGTCCGGATATCATTATTCCATTTTTAATTAGAATTTTTTCGTTATCCTAAAATCACCTTCTGCAATGCGGTATATTGAAATGGAGGACGCGGCTGTCATTCTTTGTGTGACAGGTGGCATTGGGGAACGGGACGCTTGGGTGAACTCACGTCCCAATAATGCTGCAGGATATACATGTATCTTCAGTGGCGTAAATTTGTGCCGGAAATTGGGGTGGGGATTTGTGTGTGAGTGTGGGGGGATGACTTGCCTGGCCATGGAAATGCAGGGGGAGGGGACTGACACCATGTGACACTATAAAGGGCGCGATGTCCTACATTTGTAATATTACAGTCGTAGAATTTGACTTTAGAATGGCATATTTATGGCCTGTTCAAATTGTTTTCTCTTTTTGAATGATACCGAATACATTTTAATCTTTGGAAAGTCTGAAAAATTCTTCACAATCCGCTTTAATTTCTTTGCTCACCACAAAAGTGGGTGAGTGTGTGTGTGGGGGGATTCAATAGCCCATTCCCCCCAAAAGAAACAACAAAAATGTCCCCCATCAACCAGGATTTACGCCCATGTATCTTCTTGGACTCTCAGAGACTCTCGGACGCAAATGCCTGTACAAAATACAAGTGAGCGAGAGTGTAGTTCCCATAGACACCTCACAAACGATTTATAAGCTATGCAAAAAGGAGAGAGGGCGTTGTGTCCCCTAACGGCCACTTGGACCGACCGACACCACTGGCCGGCATGTTTACACAGCTCCAACTCCCTCTTGGCTGTTCCCTCCGTTGTTCCAACCCCGAAAAATTTGAAGGTCTGAACTACGGCGAGTTCGACCGACGACGACTTGTCGAATTTTTCTGAGTACCCAAGCTTAATCGACCGTTGGTTGACAAAGTGGTTGTCGCTCGCTGACTTGCAGGGCGGTCGGCTTTACATTAAGGTTTTTCACCAGTGAGAGGGGTACTTTGTGCACGGAAATCGCGCAGGGATACGGATCAACCTGTACAATATATCGTTGAGATATGACATTTATTATATCAAATCACTGTTATTATTTTGACTGAACTTACTTACACAACCCCTCCCTTAAAGAGGGATTAAAATGCCATGTTGAATTGCGTTAATGTTTGATAACTCGTCCCTAGTTAAGTACCCTACCCGTCTATATATTGATTTAATATGCAATCGACAAGTGCTATCAGGCTGTGCACACAGCACCGGTGGGAGTGGCATTATTTGCCGGTAGAGTCTGGCCCAACATTTTATCTGTAGGTGTTCAGCCAGGAAACTGGCGGCCGGAACCTGACTTCCGGTACCTGGCATCCTGCCTGGCATTATATTCAAGTTCTTCAATGAAACGGGTGTTCATATAGCTACACGTGTAGACCGGCCGCTTGCCTGTCCCCTGGGATTCTAAAACCAAGGCTGGAGGGAGTAACTGCAGGTAGATATCCGTCGTGAGGGAAATCAGAGTCGAAGCTTTGAAGAACAGCTAAAATATGGCGAAACCTTTCACCCCAGAGGCGAGGGAGAAGCTATATGAGGCCTACCAAGATGTGAGGGACGATAAATCCGAGACAAGATGGTAAGAGGAACATCCATAAGTAGAAGTTTCATCATTTATTCTTGTGAGTAGTGTATACCGTACATGTATATGAACTAATGGGTGAATGTTATTGTAGCTGGCCGACAGCACTTTGCCGCTTAAGTAAGCCTGTGATTCCGTGTTGCCTTCTTACAATGGACGTATATAAGCATCCTTCTGAACGACAACGAGCCGAAGCCGGGGTCCTGTAAAAATGATGGCAAATTTCTTAACGATTGGAGGAAATCATGGCAAAGACAGAAGAGGGATATACAACACCCAAAGTAGGCGAGGAATTAGGAGTTGCTGTTGACTAAGGTTATTTGCGCCGATGTGTAATACATGTAGTTGTCTTGCTTTCCGAGAACAGAAATTAAAACTCTGTGAATCATTCATCAAATTGTATTGTTTTTTGTATAATCATAAAGTTGATGAAATAAGAAACAAGGCTTCTGGTATATATGCTCTTGTAGACTCGCAGTCTTGTATACCCTAACGGTGTTAAGCCAAGTTATCACGAAGTTATTCGAAATGAACTGTGGCGAAAGCGTGCTTGTCTTTACTTATCGCGGGTCTTGTGACAGGAATTGTGAAAGGACTGTGAAAGAATGGCAACCAATCCTTTCACAATTCATACAACACTGTCTGGTATACTTTCGACTTTAAAAGGATAGGCATCAGTCTACGCAGTGTCATCTGAATGCTGATCAATCTGAGTGTCATCCTTTCATTGTGTTGAAATGGTTCTTAAAATGATGTCGAAGAGAACGCGCACAGACACCTGAGTGTACACCGGGCGTTCAAGCCTGCGGGACAAATGTCGGCTAATTTGAACAACTTGGTTGTGTCTAGTTGAACGCTCGCTTGTAAACTTTAATGATGAGCCCCTTATTAACCATTCCAGTCCCATTCAAGGCCAAACGATTAATCCAAAACAGATAATGTGGGGTGAATGCTATTGGGGTCATCTCGAAGTACTGGATATTAATATAACTGTCTTCTATTGGTAAATGCACTTTGAACCACCAGGTCTTCAACCAAGCAATCAACAATTGAACAGCGATGGAAACATAAGGGAAATTGGCCTGAACCCAAAAAGTGACCAGATTATTTAAAGACCATTTCACATGGGGGGGGGCAGATTCCGCCTCTCTTAACTTTCACATGTTCAATTTTTGTAATACTTGGCATGAATGTACACACACACTCGTCATAAGTCCACCTGTGAAGTTACAACAATTTAGTTCAATTTAATCCAGGTACAGTTTTGTTGATACGGTCATTTGACGTTCATGCACGCCCTCACGCGTGTCAACCTCGCGTGTGTGCAACGAGCGCGTCAATTGGAGAATAGACTTTTGGCTGACTTACGGGGAAAAATGGGCGTTTCGTTGGTGTCAAAATAACTGAAAGGTATTACCATGAAAACACTGAAAGCTCATCGCTGGAAAAAATGCACCAACTAAAGTCGCACACCAACTATGGCTTTGATGGTCCCAACAATACTTGGGGTAGGTCAAATAATTGGGACGTTCACAGCTGCTACGATAAAGTAATTGCCAGGGGCGGATTCGGGGTTTTATCATTTATTTATTTGGTGAAAATGGAGGTGTGCGTCCCCATGCCCCCGGATTCGCCCTTTGTATATCTATAAATACAATCACTTTAAAAATCCCTAAAACATATAACTGTCCATGGTGTTTAAGGACTAAAGCAAAGCTTACTTACTAATTTTTTGTCCAGTTTTTGGTGGTAAATGGACCACTTTGTGGAGAAATCTTCAGCCCAAAATATTCACCCCTGAAAATAGTTCTGTCATATTGCAGCAGCCAGTAGAAATGGAGCCCCCGGCCTTACCTGTGAGGGCCCCGTTTGGTCTAAGTTTTACCAATTAATCCATTTACGAACTTGCATTCTAATTCAACCTGTTCAGCCCTGCGGTTTTGCAACACTCCACCGAGTTTGTGAGCCAACATGCTCCGAATGGCAGAGAATTTATTGGCCTGCGATCAAACTATTGACCTTTGGCATGGATGGAAGTACTTTAATTAGTTTGTTCGCTTGTGAGCTTTGCCCATCGATACAGGTGATCTCGGCAGCCAAAGGGCAACAGTAGTCTATCAGGACACAGTTAAGTCTCAAGTCTGTGTGCTGATGATGCCGTGACAACCGCTGCTTTAGACTGTTGCAAAGACAACTCAACATTCTTCCTCAACACATCCCACAGGTGCGTTGCTGGGTACCCAGACAATGGCAAACTCATCGACATAACAGCAACCGGCGTGGACTATCAGGAGTTTCTGGAATTAATGCAAGGTAGGATGGTTGAAAATAATGTGGGCCTACTTCTGAATAAATGCACGTGGGCAACATCCTCTGTCACTGGTTACAATGCAAGGGAACAGAACCATTGCATGCTGAAGGGGGGGGGTACACCCCATTAGCCCTGCAAACCACCCACCCCACTCGAAGATTGTGGCTCAGGAATGCTCGAATGGGCCATGTCTTTAACACTTTTACCTTAATACGCCACACTAGGAAGTTCCCGGCTGATCTGTTGATCCAGCACTAGGATTAACTGGATTCGAGTATAGCAGATCCAAAACAGGGCGGGGTCGCAGCTTGTCCGAGTATTTACGAAAGGGAGCCCCCAGAATGGGGTGAAACCCCAACATTCTTCTCTGGGTGGAAATTTCTATCTTAACAAGTTGCAAAAAAAAACCCTGTGAGAGCAAAGGAAATGGGGCGGGGGCGGGGGGGGGGAGACGTATACTCCGCCCAGAGAAGGAAGAATAGTTGGGGGGGGGTTCACGTTCCTCTGGATCCACTGCAGATTTTACTGGTCTTTAGGAGTAGAAGCCCTCTGTTTATATTTTAACATGGTGTTTCCTTTCATATCCGTGCGTGCTTCGACTCAGACGACGAACGGATATATGGTTTCGTACGGTACGAAACGGGCGACGAGATGAGTAAGCGAGCCAAGTTTGCTTTCATCACGTGGATAGGGCCAGCCGTATCCTCTCTCCAGAGGGCCCGAGTAAGCACCGACAAGGCGTTCATAAAGGACATTTTCACCGTAAGCCACACATTCGATATCTCTGCTTTGCTCTTTACTCACAATTAGTCAATCATAAAGTAAAGTGTCTCGTTCATTTTTGTTTGAAATGGTTAGCACACTGTAGAAATTTTACGTTAACTTCCTCCACTTAATGTGATTTTGAAAAAAGTTGAAGCTTATCCGGGTTATTGACGCTGGTACTATAGGAGGTCGTGTGTTCCAGTCTCACCAGAGGACCCTTTCCATAGATTAACATTACGTTCATGAAGGGCGAAATCCCTATCAGTTTTCATTTCTGTCAATGAAAGTTCATTACAGAGTAAAAGTAAAATAGCTGCTTGTTGATCGAGTGGTTACTCCATCAGACAGCGGCTGGTCGCACACTCTAAAAACTCCCAGGTCAGATTGACCCAAAATTCTGTCCCATTCGCCTTGACCCTTGTCCGGTTCAAATTATGACCCAGAAAGGGTCAAATATGACCCACAGAGGGTCAAATATGACCCGAAGGGGGGTCATATGTCATATTTTGACCCAGAAAAGGGTCACGCCGAATTGGACCCAATTCTGGGTCAGTCTGACCAACGAGTTTTTAGAGTGTATGACCATCAGTCTAATTGACACTCGTCAACTTCAATTGACATCGTTTATTTTAGTCCTGGAAACACTGGAGGTATATAGACCGTAATAATGTATTTCAGAATATAGAACCAGCTGTTCGGTCAGTTCAATCTGGCTTGGTTTATTATTACATGATCCCTACGCTGCTGCTGTATGGTAACGAGTTGTTGGTGATCGCTCCTATTCTTACTGTCTAAATAGCGGCATGTACAGTTGTCAATACTTACAGGAAGACGGAAGTAGGATATGCGCACTTCCATCCTCTACTTTACTGCATTGAAAGTAGAAAATAGCGATGAACTAGTTTTTCTGAAGGTCACACACTACTTTCCTGTCGCATCAGATAACCATGTATACAGTACTTCCCGGTGCAGTGGTTTCAAGAAGTTACTCAAAACATATGCAACATGATGTCAAGAAAGTCACATACATGGTATCATTGACTTCCTTGATACATAAATCCAGAGCGCTTGGAGAGATGACCTTTTCACATTATTGTTCAATGTCACATGAAATGGGGAATTTTGTAAAGCCTGTCTTCCAAACAGAAGAAAAATCGAGGAGTTGTTAAGAAATCGTGCCCGCAAAACTCTGAGGGTTAAAGTTTAAATAAAAAAAGAAGAAAAACAAGCTGTTTTGAGGGAGAGTCTTAACACTACACAGTGCGTCGAAAAGGATAGCAAAGAAGGACCTAAATATGCACGTCGTTCCCAGTTTAGGAGTGGGAAAAAGTTACGTCAAACAAGCAAGCTCTGTTTTCTCCACGACAGCAAAAGTTATCAACAAAAGATGCGAATTTGGCATTTCACCTCTCTGTCATTGTGTGCTTTTCTTTATTTGCTATTGAAATATCAGAATTTCGGAGTCGAAGTTTTGGCGGACGATCGCCACGATCTGCAAGAGGACGGTGTCAAGGATCGGCTTGTCAAGGCAGGCGGGGCTAACTACGGAACTGGACGGTAGAGGCTCTCACGCGAGATTGTGCCAGACACTTCCCGATTCAGGGAACTATTTTTAATGCAGAAAAAACAAGAAAATAGACTAACAGTATATCAGTGGGGTTTTACTATTATTAATTGTTGCTGGTAATGACACCAAGGATTCCACAAAAGTGCCCTAGGCGCTGTAGCTTTCAAGCCTGATGAAACCTGTAGAGAGGAGACAATGAGAAGCAGTTACAATTTTAGAGGTGGGAGGAAAAACCCAGAGGAATATTCTGGTTACAACCCACGAAATCAGGCAGGGACTGAAAACCCAATCCACATGTGGACTGAGCTGGGATTCGAAATAAGACCACAGAGGTGGAAGGCGAGGAAAGAACCACTCTGCCAACCTGACTCCCACAGCAATGTTAGTTTTCAAATCCTTTTGGGAGAGGCTGCGGTGGTGAACTAATGTAAACATTAACTAACGCCATTTTGTTTTGTTTTGTACCACTGTGTCTTTTAGATTGGAAACGAATTGTATTTATTCAAGGATTAAGGCTATCTTTGGTCAAAAAGTGTTCATTATAAATTGAAATTTTTGTCAATTTTGATACCAGTGTTTATCCAGAGAGTGCACACTGACTGTCGGATCAAGCAGACTGAGCAAATGCACCTAGGATGTAGTTGTCGAGGTTAGTGTTGGAGATGATGCAAAGTTGGAACACAGCCCCTGTCAACACTAATCATTCAGATACCGACGGTCGGATATATAGCATTTTAGTGTACATGTAAACTCAACCTCATCAGTTTGATATCTTGCCACCAACTGTCACAGAACTCCTTTCTCCATAATAATACTGCAGTGTGTGTTTGTGTTGGCAATTACAGAAAAAATTCATGACACTTTCGAGACCTAGAGTACTCAGCGTTAGACTGTAGCAAGGGCTGTAGCGAGCGATGAATTTAGATGTTTTCAGTTTTTAATAAAGAAGCATTGTTTCCATCAAGTGCTTAGACAGCATGTATCAGAGTTTAGTCTTTAGAAACGTCTACGTTTCTCATCGGAACCAGCTTATTGTCCGCTGAGACAGATGTATTTATTCCCATTATCGGCCTTAAGCAGGAGCACCCCTTCATCGATTGAAAAGAGCCATGCTGGTCGGAAGCTAGTTTTGTTGAGTGCAGCGAAGTGAAGTTCCTACGGTACCAAGGAGCCGCCGTTGGTAGGAAAATCGCACCTTCTCTTGGTCCAGCCAGGAGCCCATAACACTGAGACAAAATTACAGTCGTGCGAAAACAGACCTGAAATCTTCAAAAGTTTCCTGAAATTATCGGAAATGTGACACTAAACCCCAAGTGTGGACAAACCAACAACAATATTTCAGGACATTCAAATGGCATCGAAAGGGTCACGGCTGTGCAGAGCTAGACTGGATTATTTGCCTCCGATAAAAAAGATAAATAATAACTTATCCAGATTTTCCACGGACTCAATACTTTCCGTATATAACATTAGGGACAATTTTCGTCGGGGTGTATATTTCTGCAGGATGGGGGGCTAGGCTCTACTTCTCGCTTGTTTTCTGTCTACGCAATTGTGGATATGCAAAATATTGAAAGAAAACAGGAAGTGGGCATCTTCAGGTTCTTAAATTGAAGGAGCGGATCTAGTAGACCATCATATGGGAATGTAAGAATTGGGTTTATCCCATTTAGTGGCAAACTGAACTAACCCTCCCCACAACTACGCAGTGGTGTAAATTTGTGCCGGAAATTGGCGAGATGGGGATGGGGATTTTTTTGGGGGGGGAGGGGATGACTTGCCCGGTCAGTGAAATTTGAAAACCAGGGAGGGAGACTGACACAATAGGACACTTTATAAGGGGCGACGTTCATAATGTATAAATGTAAATATGTAACATGTATTACATTCATGCAGAATCTGACATCAGAATGGCATATTTATGGCTTTTCAAATTGTTTTCCATTTTTTTGTGATACTGAATACATTTCAGTCGTTGGCAAGTCCGACAAATTCTTCACAATCCGCTTTGATTTTTTTGCTCACCACAAAAAAGTATGCGGGCGTGGCATACATGGTGTGGACCTCAGCGGACTCTTTGGACTTAATATCAGAATTGCGACTGCTGCACGACGGTTTCGAGTACACTGTCTTCGGGCGCACAATCGGCCATGTACACCTCCCAAAGTTTTTCTCTATCTGTGCTGATAAATGGTTCTGATGAGTCTTCAAAAACCAGGGATATAATCGATTGATGTTCCTCCTGAGCTTCATATGTCTACCATACAATGTATTCCGATACAATCCCTTTGTGATTCCAGATGTTTCCACTGAGAGAGTTACAAGCAACACTTCAGTGAGTCCAAATTTCACACTTAATGGGCACTGACAAAGAAAATGTGCCAGTTATATTGTAAATGCACTATCTACGTTGGGAGACTCATCTGTATACGTCTGGGACACTGATATATTATACATGTTTGTGAACAAAGTGGAAAATCCTATTTCTTTCTCACGAGACTCGTGTTCGATAATTTCAGAAGGAAATTATACACCATATATATATTTGTGTCCATTTTTATTAAAATTTTGCCCTTGTTTTTCTGGGCAATGTAAGGCATGTTAGTTCGACATACTGAGACTTGCTAGTTAAACCTAATGGAATACCGAATAATGTTTGGGAAACTTCAAAAAATTTAAATACAAACTTTCCGAAGTGTTTTTACTCTCAGGAATATTCAGTATACTAGATTTTCCCACACTTCCACGCATAGACCAACCCGTGGTGTGCAAACTGTGCGATTCATCTGAAGAATACAAAACGTTATTATTCAAACGATTATGGTATTGTTGGTCTGGTGACTAAATTTACAGGTGACTGATTTCATTGTGGCAGTGAAAACCGACGACTGTTTCGTGTGCAAAACAAATTTGACTTAAATTATATTAAGGTAATTCGGGATCTTACTTCTTTCATAATATCGTAGTCTTAATTGTTTTATTTGATTAATACAATGACTTGGCTAAAGCACATAATGAATAAGATCAGATTTTGGTTTGAGTTTGTCAAAGAAGGGCACGCCCTAAAACCCGCCAACTTGTTTTGGGCATGAAATTTTATCTTGTTCCAATTGCTTCGGAGTGACGTGTTCTGTTATGTTATTTCAGACAAGGTGTTTCCCTTTCAAGGTCTAACAATTTGCGTTTGGAAAAAAAATGACCAAATATAGCGTCATGAATAATGGTCTCGGTTGGGGTTTCTTTACACGGCCCACTAAGTAACACTGCGTCATACGCCAACCAATTCGATTGAACAAACTGTTGAACACTTCGCGCAGGACTTCGTGGGCGCTGCCATTAGGCGGAAGGACAAATGCCTTAATGAGTCAACGAAACACGTCGGGTGCAAGATACATGTAGATTACTTTTGGAGGCATTCAACGTATACTAAAGACCAGGAAGTCCTGTACATGTGCCGCACCTGCCCAGTCAAAGCCCTGGATTTTCGTCGAAGGCTGCTTCATCCCTTGAGGAGGGCGAGTGGTTCTCGGCCAGATTTCACGTATGCGAGTTGGAATCAGAAATTGAAGTTGACAATTGAGGGGACGCCGCTTCTGGAATTACGCTCTGTCAAGTTTCACGTTCCCAGCAGAGGATTGCTGGTACCAGCTTTACACTGACGCTTGAATAACCCCTTTTTAATTCAGAAAGATTCATTATGAATTGGCTAAATGAGGCGTTCTTCGTTATTTGTTGTGTTTATATCACAATGAGTACGACTGTTAATGTGGCGACTGCACAAAACCACCATGTAACAGGTGAGTGGAATTCTGTATATCATCAATCTGCAAGAGAAGGTGCAAGTTTTGCCTTCATACGTTATTCATAATGGTGTACACATGTATACACACCGATCTCGGAGGAAAATGTTACATTTTTGCACACAGATCTGCAACAAAAAAGCACCGAGTTAATATGTTCAGTCCTAGAAATCCAGTGAGCGCGAATGCAGACTGTGTCTATCTTAGATCATTTTGGGCCGATTTGTGATTTCGACAAAATCTTGATGAAAATCTGAATCTAAATTCTCAGAATGCTTTCATAATGTTCCTGGCAGATTTACAATTGCTGACCCTTTGTTTTTTTGTCCACCGACACGGCCAGCATATATGGACAGGCGGGAACGAAATAAGGAATACGGATGTGGGGACGTGGTCGGGGACACCGTGTCCGGAGCGATCTCGTCCGTCATCCCCGCCAACGCGGCGGGGCTCAACTGCAGCCTGACCCTGATCTCTCCGCCGGGCACCCGGCTGAGCCTGACCATCACTCGCCTCCACCTCGTCAGCCCGAACCTCAACACGTGCGACGGCAATCGGCTGAAGATTCTCGGTGGCGAGGCCTCGGGAGCAGCCACCTCCCTGTTGCCGTCCTTCCCCAACGGCCTCTGCGGTTACACCAAGCCAAGCCAGTCTGTCGAGTCTCTCGATAATCGAGTGTATCTGCTCCTTGAATCGATCCCCACAACGATCGAGAACACATTTAACTTGAGCTACGAATCCTTCAAGACGACACCGGGTAGGGTTTATTTCGAAATCCCAACTTCTCGATATTGTTTGTGTCAAGCCGGGGATCCGGGTTAAATCTGGATCATACATAATGACTCAACATCTAGCACAAAATATAGCTAAAGGCAATAAGCCTTTTGCAAGTTAACTTAACCCAAATCTGGTACATTGAGTTCTTTAAATTCACGTGAACACAACAACTTGAATTCTCCTTACTAAAACCACTGTTGCTATACCCCGTGATCTGGGGCAAGCTTTTGCTTAGTTACCTGAGAGACGCCTTGCAACAATACACTGTTCTCATGGTATAGATGAGGAGGCCACAAAGGAACCAGTCCACTCCAGAGATGGTGGCCGCTATGCAAAAGCTTGCTCCGAATTACGAGGTATAGCAACAGTGTCTTTAGTCTAGGGAATTCATATCGTTATGTTAATGTGGAGTCAGATAACTCAGTGTACCAGATTTTATTCAAATTTAACTCGCGAATAGCTTATTCCTCTTCGCAGCACATATGGTGCCTAAAATTTCCCCAAGTCTTCAAACATGAAAATTAACAAACCCTTTAATGACCAACTAATCGGATATCAACAAAATGCCGTATAAAGTTAGACACCCTGTGCATATAAAAATAGACAGAATAGGCCTTTGTTCGTCCAAGCACAGTACATTTACAACTCCTATATGTCTACCCTGCAGAAAAAGTTACGCGATGATTTCACAGTTCAACAAAAAACTGTTTTCTCCATCATTACAGATGAACGATGTGATTTTTTATATTTGTGAACAAAATCTATCAAAATTTGGTTAATTTATCATCGAACAAATAAAACTCTTGCAGTTGGTGAATTCTGCAATTGAACGGGAACTTGATATTTGGGAACCCTTTTCAATGATTTCAAACGATTTAGACGATGAGTGTTTCGTCTGTGACGTTGGAGGTAGCCGCAGCGAACCGTTCTGCATCGATCCCAGGTTGCTGTGCGACGGTCGGCAAAACTGCCCGGGGAACAGTGAGGAAACCGCGGCAAATTGCATGGGTATGTGCCAGCTCTTTCAGAAATTTTCGATAAATTCAACTGTTGTTAGTTTTCCCCAACAACAGTAGCTCCTTAAATTTTCAGTCAAATGACAGATGTTCCATGATTGGAAGATGATTTAATACAATCAGGAACATGCTTTCGGGTATACCCAGAAATACCGCCAACAACAAAGCTAGGTGCCGCTTTATAATAGTCAAATCTAGAAAGACCCATAAATTTTAATATTTATCATTAAACTCTAGCTCCTTAAACTCCTCGCAAGGAGTATCATTGTGGAGATGACTACCTTGTATTGAACAAGCGATGTCCACAAGGATTGAGGGCGCCAGTCATGAAAATCTGGCTAGTATGTACGATCTTCATGCGGTTTGATGGATGTGGTTTTTTTCAGCGACTACCTCGGCACCACCGTCTGGATCAGGAAGTATTGTCGTTATTGTTATTGTTAGCGTTTTGGCCGCTGTACTAATTGCGGTCATGATCTTTGTTGTGCTGGCTGTAATGGCCAAGAGGATGCGCTCAAAGCGAAACCAGGGCAGCGTCCGCCGCTCGGAGAGAGCCAGCCAGTCCCTCACAGGAGCTCCACCAAGCCTGGCTGTCAATCTCGATCACATGCGCCTCCATGGGGAGAACGAGGACTTGCCTGGGAGCTACGAGGTCGCCGTGGGTTCGCCGATGCCTCTGCACCCATTGGGTGGCCCGCCGCTCTTCACCGTGGACGGCGAGTATCGCAGCGAGGCCCCGCCGGGCACCGCTGGACCATTGCCCGGTGCGCCTCCCGCGTACTCTACCCTCCCCAGGCCCATGGAACGCTCACTGCAGATAGCTGAGAATACCAACCCAATTTCTAGATCTAGGGTGCCCAGCACTAACGATGAACTAGCACCTGGTACTCCTTGATAAAAGTGCAAAAGGTTTCAACCAATGAGAAAAAACACTGTATTCGAAATCGACGGGCATTATAATTAGTATCCGGGGTGCAGATGATGACGAAAAACTGAGCGCAGTTCTCCCTCTGGAATTTGTAAGTTTGTCTCTTAAGAGTGACGTCAAGATAAACAAAATGACTGGCAAAGTTAGAAGCTAAAGCCAAAATAGAGTGAGAAAATACCATCTATAAGAGCACGTGTGTCTATTCCCACACAGGTGGTGTCGAGTAATAGCTATTTCAAAAATGTGCTGAGAAAAAAAATGTTTGTTTCACTAAAATGACGGTAAATTGGCAAACGCAACGAAGCATTGCAAACCTTCTCCTGTGAGAGGGAAAGTGAAAGAAAAAACTTGGTGAATTTTTTCCATATGTCATCTTTGCACAAACTACAACATGGCCAAGTAAACGTAGGGATACTTTTTGTGAGGGACTGTAGCAATAATATGGCCGGACACGCGAAAATTTCAGTGATAGCATACGATGCTGCGTGAGTATGCAGAGACCGCAAATCTGCAATAGTACAGCTGGTGATCTCACTGGAAGCCCTCCAAAATATCAGGGTATAGTAGTATAGCTCAAGATCTGATGGTGTTGCGGTGTAATACGCATTAGTTAAAACTAAAAATTCGTGTATTTTGTTAACCAAAGATTTCAGTTTTGCATGTTTTTGTATGTCCAAGCACACAGTCAATAGTGCACTCACGCAAGCATGGTTTTTGTTGGCACAAAACTGCTTTTAAAACTTTAACAGCCAGCTCATTCGATTCTCGTTTCCTGGTCTTCTTACACTCACCAAAGAATACTTTGCCAAGTTTGCCTTCATGCCAGGCGATACGCTATGGGCCGCGTGCAAGGCTAGCTACCCGGATATAGATTCGATTTTCAGACAGCAGTAACACAGCCAATTGGTGGGTCAACAACCACGTGCCATGAATTCATCTCAACGCAGTACGCAGCTACATTGCAAAAAATTGAACGTTCTTATCACATATCCATAGGTATTTTATTACAATACGGGCGTTTGGAAAGGGTCGACAAATTTCGTGCGTTGAAATTGGCCAACGCGTATCAAACTCTTGGAGGCGCACTATTGTGAATCGCCCGTATTCACCGAAAATGAAGACAATACATATTCAGGCAAGTTCATCCTTGTGGAAAGCAGTCATGTCCAGTATCACTGCTGTGCAAATGATCCGGAAAGATTCCTGCAAGTGCGGGACAAAATGAAGCTAGAATGAAAACAGCAAGTATCGATCGTTAATACACAATCGTTGAGAGATTTCCAGGAGGATATCCATTTTCTTTTTACTGTGTACGCCCTGACTTATAGTGTCTGCTTCCATGTCCCTATTTCGTGGAACTCGAATGGTCTGCAATTTGATGCCAAATGTATAACAAATGTGCTATTAAAGGATTGCAACTATGCAGAATTACAAATACCAACAATCATTTTAAATACCTCAGTCCTTCTGTCAATCGATCATTCATGCTTATATTTGGCGAAAGCTGGATTATTAAAGCAGAAACAAAGAATGTCAAAATACACTCTAAATTAACAAGTGGAAAGTAAGGCACCTCTCGGTTTTTTTTAAAAAGAGAGAGAACATGTTAAAGAGTAGATATAAGTGGAACGTGTCAGTGTTGTCATCGAAGTGTAATTTATGTCAATGCCACATGCAAGTTCTTTCCCAACGAAGATCAATCTCCTGACTGTGTTTCTTTCCTGAATAATCGATACGTTTATAAAGATTTAAGTAAAAGTACAAATTATTTTTTTTAATAAAAAGACCATACAGTCACTTTCAAGATATCCTTTATAAAACGGGGGTCTACAGAATGTGTCATGGTAATAAGAAAAAATTAAATTTGTGACCAAAAATTACAGCTTTTTTCCCTTAATGCTGTTTATTGAACAGTTAATGAAAAATGCTACCGAATTACTGCTCTCTTTTTATTCTCGGTTGACCAGAGCGAGGTCATACATTACGTCATCGTTAGAGGTCAAGCTCTTAATTAAACTCCTCCAGACGTTGCAGACGTTCCTTCCGGCGGGCAAAATCCCGTGGGGTGTGGGTGTCGTGTTCTCGGCGCGGGCCTTCTTTCAGTTCGTATCTTTTGAATATGTTCTGGCCGATCCTGGTCATTTGTATGGAAGGGAATATGAATACTCCATCAGCCTCTTTGAACATGGCAGACTCAATTAAGAGTTTGTAAATTTGGAGTAAACGCAAAAGATTTTACCAACACAACATAGTGCCTTCCTATTGTGTCCGCCATACCTCAACTATGGGCTTATCCCTTAGCATCCAATCCCCAAACTTAGTCCCCATGCAGGGACCCTGCTTTCATCCAAGCTAGCGACGAGGAGACCCTGGGAGGGTAATTTGCTCTGATGGGTTCCTGAACTTCTTGTAAATGATGGTTAACATCGTGCAGTTGTCCAGCGCCTATAGACTGCGCAGAAGCTAGGGTTTGTCTGCCACTCTAACACAAAGAGGACGAGGTTGTTGAATCTAGCATTAATTTAAAAATATTTACTTTGGGGTTATTAATTTACCTGTTTGCCATCCACTTGTCGTCGCAGCTGTCCACATGTGACGTCAGTATCCACATGGTGTGAAGCGTCTCCTCACCGTCACACAGGTGGCACTGCCCAGTCCAGCTGCTCACTGATTGGCCGTTGCGCCACACCACCGTCATGCCAAAAGTCGGGTACTCACCGTTGGTGGAGGTGTGACCAATCAACCGGGACGGCCCTTGCCCTGCCAAGTAAATTTTGACGAATGGTCAATCTGCATGTAATTTGAATGCAATTATCCTTTCCAAAATTACCACGGACAGTCTCCCAAGATAACAGACTTTCCCCAAAGAATTCAGTGCACTCCCCCGACGTATCACATTTCAACATATGGAAAATGGTGATAACATAATTCTGCACTTCTAATATGGAATGGTCTTGTCGCTTATTATGGAATCCGTGCGTGAATAACAGAGGGTACCGTCAGTCACCAGGTAGTCTGATTCCCCGACTAAAGATTCCCTGACGACTCTTGATAATATATTAGGTCAGGTATCATCCACGGATATAACTAGATAACGTCGCAACATGTCAAGGGTCACTAGGAAAGCCCCGGATACATCGCAGTATGCTTAGAGAGCAGCATTGAGTTGCATGTGGGCAACAAGCATGTCTTATTATGTGTACAGACACGACCGGAAATACCCGAACATCTACGATGGTATTCGAATGTTGACGGGACAAGTTCAGAATATTTCGGCCATATTCAGAAACTGGAGGATTCTTCCAGTTTGGTCACGTGGACACGGACCCTTGATTAAACGAGATCTGGTATCGGGTCGGGTATCCAGACTCGTCAACCAGCAGTCATACGGTGCTGTGATCACCCCAGGTATAGCTACACTAGAACTTTTTGTTTTTCTTCTTTTGTGTGTTTCACCTGTTGCCATTTATTTTACTTACCAGCTGATCCGAGGTTTCTCTCCACTGCTGTGCGGTATTCACCGACCAGGACGCCAGGTTCCGACGTGGCGTTAATGATCACTTCCGAACCAAGCTTGTTGTACCATATCCCCTCAATATGGCAGCCTAAATGATACAAAATGAAATTCGTGTTCAGAGTGTTCAATTCCCTGAGATGTGAAGACATCTCTCCCCCAGTTTTGATCCGGGGCGGACCTACAAAATCTAAGAAGACACAAACTTCCAATAACACCGAAATTCAAAACCTGGCCAGACGTCTGAAAAGGCTGAGGTGCAAGCACTCTTCTCAGGATATAATTTTGTCGGTCGCTCTGACTATTTTGCCAAATGACATCTGAATCCTGTCTTTTCGGACACCTTATAAAACCTTCAGTGTGAACATTTTTATCTAAACATCCATCATCTAATGTGCATGGTTGGCATACAGAGAACGCTCAAAACGTGATAAATTTATACCTTATATGATTAAAGTAACAAAAACCCATTTACCCATCATTTAAAAGAATTTTTAAAAGAAAAAACCCGATTTACTCACTTTTTAAAAGAGCTTTGAACAGCAGGAAAAATGTCACATTATACTTATATTCTCAGCTCCAAATTATCTTATTGTCGGCTCCAAATTTTCCTATAATCTTAGCCGTACCAGGGGCGATTGCGACCGACCGTATCTCATTAATTTATCCAATGTGCCCTTGGCCACTTACAGTCTGTTTTTTTCTACACTTTTCTTCAAGTTTCAAACTCTAGCAACGGCAAAGCTTACGACTTTTCTGAGTTCTGTTGATATCCCTCTCCTGATCCGGCCCAGGTGTCGGACTTGGCTTGAAATCCTACCAAAAAATAAATGAAAATTAAAAAACGTTAAATATCTATGAAAGGCAGTAAAAATTGTTTTATCTCATGTAACGTTCCAATCGACGCGTGTAAAGGAAAAATATATACAACCAAAAGGGAAAAATGAGAATCGTATGCCAGGTACGAGCGGTCACTTATATATAACTACAAAGGAGAAACGTACACATCGCCTCTCCTTCAGGTTCGAGAGATGGGCAAGTTGCGGAGAAATAATCCCCGCAGGTATTGCAGTACCGTTAGTGAGAAAACCAATAGAGCTAAAGATTGTTTACGTTTGGTCTACATTTGTTTTTTTGATTTGAAAACGACAACTGAAAATGCAAAAAAGGACTTCAATTCAAAAAAAATCGAGCAAATCTAATTCAGAAAAATTTCGAAAACTTAACAACATATTCTATTTTCCATTTTAATAAAATTGACTTGAGTCCGCCACGTTAACCATGGATGATTGTGAGGTTTCGCTAGCGACAAAGGAAAAAATGAAGCAACTCACATGTAAATTTCACCTTCTGGACAACACTAAACAAACGCCACGATACCGCGACATAGAGGAGGCTGTATGTACACATAATATTTACAGGCTAGGGCTAGTCATCCAGGTATTGCTTGTCACTGTACTAGATTGAGCTGCTTTAAAGGGAAAATAGACGTTCACTAAAACGAAACCTGGATCAAAACAACCGACATCGTTTGAGTCTCTTTTTTCATTTTGAGGCTGACAAAAAAAAAGAAAGAATTACTTTTCAAATTCAATTTTTTTTTCTAATCGATAAAAAGTAAAATTAATTTCAATTTTAAATCTGGCATTTCTTGTTCTCAAATAAACAAACACTGAGAGAAACGTTCCATGACGGCAAAGTCAGGATTCATTTCATTATTCTACTCCTCTGATCAGCTGATTTACCTCGTTGCTCTTGCTTCCGGTATCGTCCGAACCCCACAACCAGTCAGTAAACAGGTCACGGCGCATGCGCCTGTGGGTATCAGCCGCCCAAGCACAGGAGGCTATCCCAAGAGCGAGAAGTACGAAAACTACTTTCATTGCTGCGATGAACAGAAAATATATAATATATGTGAAGCAATGCCGACGAAAAAGTGACACCGGCAACTAACTACAAGGCAAGAGCTAGAAGCACAAAGAAAATTTAACAGCAACATCATGATGAGCATAGAGTACATGGATTGAGAAGCAGCAATGATTACCCCTTGAGAATTCTAATTGCAACAGCTAGTGCATGAAGCTTCTGAAGCCATTGACACATCTTTACTTCTAAAATCTGCTTTTAGGATCTCTCAAACATTCCTTCGCACACGGGTGTTCATCCCGGGGGATGGGGGTGTATATTGCCCCAATTTTTGAGGTGGGGGATGGGCTATGAATCAATCCTCCTCACTTTGAATGGTGAAAAAAAAATAAAAATAAACAAATAAATAAAAAAATAAAGCGGATTGTGAAGAATTTGTCGGACTTCCCAACTACTAGAATGAATTCAATATCACTCAAAAATGGAAAATAATTGTAGAAAGCCCCAAATATACCATTCCCATGTAAGATTTTGCAAGAGTGTAATTAATATCCCGAATCTACATCAATATCATGACCATCGACCTCTATATATAATCATATGGTGTCAACCCCCACCCTATTTTTCAAATTTTCTGGCCGGGCAAGTCACCCCCACCTCCCCCCAATTTCCGGCACAAATTTACGCCACTGCCTTCGCAAATTTCTACAATGCCACAAATCTTGAGTGTCCAATGTCGCTTCTTACTCTTTGTACACCTTCGTACACCGTGAGAAAAGCCTGTCGTGATCTCGATTATGTGAATTGCTTCCGAATCTCTTCACGGTTGCGATAATTTGATTTGGTCTTGAATTGCTTAGCATTAATGTATAAGATGACATGCCTTACCGTTGACTGGCAGACTGCAACTCTGGCTGGAGTTCTTAGGGAAACTTTCGTCTTAGAAGTCAGAAAGCTGAATGCACAGACTTGACGCTGTTAAACTGAGGCTATTTCATAGGCACTGTGTATTGTTGAAGTGTGTTCCCGTTGGCAAAACTTCAAGAGGTCGAAGATCGCACGCCCAAGAGTAAACACATCAAGCACGTAGATAGTGTGCCATTGTATTCAAATGTTATTCCGCGGAGAGTTCATTGTCTCTTGTTGCACCAATATTGAAGCCTGTGGTGTTGGGACATTGACTAACAAGAAGAAACAAAGACAAGTGTCTACAGCTTCGCTTGTCAAACCTCGGCGGTAATCTACAGGGCTTTCCATTTTCAAAATGTGAAGTATACATTTTCAAAGTTCGCCCTTATGAGACATAATTTTAAATTTCGTTTGCCGAGATTTTTTAAAGAAATGTTATTTCTATTTTTGGGAAAAAAAGTTTTACGAACTGGAAATGTACTTAACATTTTGAAAATTCTTCACGGCTTTCGTAGTGCATGAGACGAAAATTTGGGCCCCCTAGACCTGGTAACGCCTCTGTACACAGGAGCGTAGCGACCCCGATACTACGGGAGATCCAAACGCGCATTCGGTCGACAGATTTCGCGCACTGTGATTGGTTCACGCGATGCAAACTCTTGGAGGGGCGCTATTGTGAAACGCCCGGTATTCCAGTCGGCAAATAGCTAGAGCTTCGGTTAGCAAATGAATCCAACTTAAAGCACATACGTTTGCCGTCGGCATTTCCCCTGAAGCATGCAACGTAGCTACCACGGATCAGTTTGTGAATTTTACATGACACGAGGTTGGCGAATAAGTTACTAGTTGCAAATTGACTCTGGCACACCCCCCTCAAGAAAATGCCTTCGCTACTCCCCTGTCTGTACATATATTGATAAGTTACAAAAATAGGCTATGGGTAGGGGGGGGGCTACACTGACAAGTGACAACATAAGGGTCATTTTGTGAGTAGTTTTGTAACACAGTGCATGTACCCAATGTTTCATTATCTATTTTCATCGTCCCAATTTAATATTTATTTCCATTTTCCGTTCAGTTTTGCTTCTACAGCGTCACATTATTGCTAGTTTATTTTCCTATGCATGGCCATTCTACCACTCTGTACCCCTTGGCTAAACTTGTTATGCTTGATGAGGCGCTCAGAACTTCGGGAGGGGGGGGGAATAAGACCGTGGATTGTCCCTTATTTTTTCATGTCAAGATCTGTCTTTTGTTATCAGTAAGTGAATAAAACTTTAATTTTGATCATTCTTCGTCTGGTAATCCTTTAATTCTTCAGAAATGTTCCAGTAGAGTTCCACACAAATGGTCATAATAATATACTAACCCTCCTATGATTTGAACAAATCCCAATTTCACAAAATCCAGTCATTTCTGTAGATTAATTAAACTCAAAAACAACCTATTTGCCTCATGAATGACAGAGTTCACTGTTGCATATATACCAATGGTATTTAAAGGCCACCACTCGCAACAAATATAAAGATTAAATGCAGTTAAACTTAAAGTGTTTAATAACAATTTTAAGCCTTTAGACGATTCTCGGTAATAGAGGGTTTGCAAGCCCGCCATCTTGCAGGCCAGTCCTTTTGTTCCACAAGGTATGCATAAAGGAGATATCCCAGTGGAATAACAGAACTGCCCTGGAAATGGCTACCATGCAAAGCCTCTATTCAATTATGATTATCATCACTTCATCTGTAGCTGATCAGCCAACACATCCACTTTATTTGCATTAACCGGTAGATAAAGCAGTGTTTGATTGATAGGCTACAAAAAAGAAATACATATATGACTTTCAGGAATAAAGTCTTAAAATGCTTACACACCAAGTTTATGCAAACTTTAAAGCTCCCAACTGCACACACGGTTTAGTTATAAAACATTCTCTACACGTTTTTTGTTTCACGTTTTTACTGATCTTTAAAATCTGTTCATACCATTTTCACTATTACTGTGTTAACTTCCACATCGTGCTTTTGTTTCATACTTCCCCCATTTGTTTTGTTGTGCTAATTTTTGAAAATGCACTGCTTATAATACTGCAATAATAATTGTTTCAGAATTTTAAATACTCCAATATGAGTAAAAAAGATAATCGATGACTCGCGATGTCGTGTTGCTGGTAGCGACGTTTCGGCTGCCAGTGCTGCTAGCCTACAGCACTGGCAGCCGAAACGTCGCTACCAGCAACACGACACCGCGAGTCATCGATTATCTTTTTTACTGTATTTGTCATCCACCGCGGTGATTATGTTTATCTCTTCTACTCCAATATGATATGATTGTTTCGGCGCAAGCTATTACAGGGAAAGCAGTTTTAGCAGATAAGAATACCATGTTACCATGTTAATTATTGTAATACTGCAAAGATATGAGGATTCCATACAGACTGACCTATTCTTATTTTCTTTTGGTTTGATTTTCTAGTTTTCACAATTCTTGGCCTTTCGTAATAATGATCTTGTTTGACCGACAGTGCATGCAGGCTTTCAAGTAGTGGCGTACCCAGCAGCGGATCATAGGGGGTAAGATGCATCCTCCGACAAGTTGTCAATGATTTAGGGGTTTCAAGGTACTACAATCTTTCGTGAAAACTATTTGACAGTTGTTTATAGACAAAAGACCTATTTGCCCTAGCCCTCTCCCCAGGTCCGGATAGGCCACTCCTTGTAATTTTGTTTTCTCGAATACTCTTCTTTCCTCCCCAAAAGCAGTACCTCTTTAATTAATACACAATCAATCCATGCATGTGTTGGACTTCATTTACAATTTCGGGCAAATTCGAGCGCGAACTATACATATAGTTCGACCTGTAGTCCCTAGCTTTTTAACAATGTGCATGCGCATTTCCAGGTACATTCGAACGTCCATGGGCGGTCAAGTTTTAGAAATCTCATCGTTAATCACATTTAACCTTTGGCTGCGATTCTCGCAGCATACATCTCGTACAATTATTTTCATTTGAATGGTTCCCTCTGTAACGATAAACGAAACCGGCTATTGATAACCAGCGGAGCGACCATACCCCTGGGCCTGGTCCCAAATAGTCGACTACATAGTCCAAACCATCTATTGATCGAGTGGTGTTAATCGAACTAAAGTGCAGTTAACTATACTCGTCGCACGAATTTGCCCTCCTTTGTAACGAAAATTATTAACTGTGATCTATATGGAGTGCCATTATTTGCTTTATTCCATCTTATATTTCAAGTCTTCCATCACATTATCATCCGTACATTATATGCGAAATATACGACTACATTCAAACAATCAGTATTACGTACCGCTCCTGCTGTAACAGAATTGTCTCTAGTCTGATTTTGTATCTTGTGGCGCTATCAAGAGGAATCTCTGCAGGACTGACGTCAGAGTGTCTGATGAAATAGATTTACAAGATGGTAACATTAGTATCATATCAAGGTTTTAGGAATATTCTGGGAAAAATAGACCTCTTTCTTCTGCTAACTCGTTTACGGTTTCTCGTAAGTTCGACTTAGGAAAGACTTGGGCCCATGGATCATAACATGCACGCACGACTTGAACTATGCCGCTATCTTACCGAGTGCATTTGTGAACCAGCTAGGTTTACTCTCCCACCAAACGAATAGAAGGTAGACTGGTATCCCTGTCACGGTGATAGCGGCTCCGATGCCACAATCCAACGGCGAGGAGTAAAGGGAGACAGCCAGTACAAACAAACCGCACGCAATGAAGATGATGGGCAGAATGATTGGAACCTGACCAAAGCAGAAAATTTGAGTGGGCTTTCCCATTACGCTTTCAGAGCCTGTTTGATTTACATGGATCCAGATCAGTGATCCGGAGTTGGTTCACTAACACCAGAACCCGCCTAACGGATGGAGCGAACCAGCTTTGACATTTGAAGCAAGATATGGGACAGAGAGCACTGCCTTCACACCTTTGTGTTGGTCATTGTTTGATTGAAATCTCAAGAATTCATTTCAGACATCTAGGGGTGTACAAATAGTCAAGAGTGTGTACTGGGATTAGAAATTTGTAGGGGTACCCCTCCATCCCATATCATTCTTGCTGGGTATATGGGTATAAGCTTTGGGACCACTGAGCGAGATCCAGGTCCGTGTGGTACAAACAAGCCCACGGAGTACCAAACGTGACGTCACAAGCACGCTCAACTATTAACACACGCACAATATTTCTGTATGGTGTACTATTAACGACACACATTTCTCTCTCTCCCTAGCCTCCCTCCAGGCGACGCAATTACACGACACGACGGCACGACGGCTCCCTTGCGTCATGCCGTCGGGTGGCACTGTCGCCTTCTTGCCATTACTTTTGTACAAACACGACGCATCGCGTCGTGCCGTCGCCCGTCGCGTCGTGCTGTCTTAGGTCCTTTCCTTGTTGCATTTTTTCTGCCTAAATGTCGTGTCACCCCTTCCGTCGCCCGTCGCGTCTTGCTGTCGTGCGTCGCGTCGTACGTCGTGTCGTGCATCGTGTCGCCTGAAGCACGACTCGACGCACGACACGACGCACGACGCGACGCGTCGTGTGCTTTCGCCCTTTACTTCGTGTGTGTACAAAAGTTATGGCAAGAAGGCAACGGTGGGACCCAACGGCACGATGCAAGGGAGCCGTTGTGCCGTCACGTCGTCTGGTTGCGTCGCCTGGAGGGAGGCCATAGAGAGAGAAATGTTTGTCGTAAATAGTACACCGTAATTTCTGTAGTACATAATATTGTATACTCCGACATGAGTACGGAACTTCACGACAAGGAATTGTTACTTTCCCACCTTCAGGACACTAGAAATTTCATTTAGTTTCAAGAAAAGTGTGCTGAAGTATCGGAAAAGGGTTTTAATACGACAGTCTTGACGGCTGCGCTTGCCAACCAGTGGTAGTAGCATGCGTGCGCCCGTCTTATTTGCCTATTTCATGGGAAAGGTCCATTGTGCGCGAGACGTATTCACCACGGTACTCCATAACAACTGGTCTCCGGCGCTGACATGAATTGGGGAGTGTGATCTTTTAGACTAATTTAGTGAAGACGCACTCCTACTATCAGGTTAATTAGCACACCCCAAATTGAGTCTACCAATTTTCTCCCACATTCTATAGGTTTTCCAGGTCAAATATCCACAGTATTAGGCGGAATGCCAAATTAGGTATTCAAATGTCAATAGGCCAACCAAATGTCCACACAATAGGATAAAGCCAGAGTAAATGTCCACTTAGCCACGTCAATATCGCAGTAGATAATTCAAATAACAATAGGGAAATCAAATATCCACATAAAGAAAATTGTAATGTAACCAAGTAACCAGTGGTGAATAACTTCGCTGATAGGTTCATCAAGTGCAGCATTGGTCATTCAAATATCCCAAGCAAATATTTGGTGTTAAATAGATGCTGTACCACCCCGACGATGACAAGCAGCGACTTTACGATACCTATGTCAAATTTTATTCAAAGATAATTTTGGAATATTCTTTTTTAAACGGACAGATATTACCTCATGTGGAAGGCATTTCAAAGACTGATGTAAAGAGAAGAAATAAGCCTTAGTAACAATTGGTTTTAAAAATATCTTTCATGGTTTCAGGTGGAAGTATCATCTCACATCTTGATCATTTCAAACATCCACTCATTTCAGATCACTATATAACATTTGATTGCCCTGGTAGACGTCGGTTTTTTTTTCTGTGTGGATATTTGACCTACCCAGCGGATTTTCGATTTACATTTTTATATATTATGATACCTTATTGAAATCTGAACTACTTATTTGGACTCCACGTCATATTCTTGACATATGATCTGTTTATGTTGATGATTACTGTAAAAATGTGGACATTGACCTGAAAAACATTTATATTTAGCAAAGTTGAGTCAAACATTTTTGAGTGGGTGAACGGGGTTGCAACCTTCCACGCCCCCTCTCTATCGGCCATCATACGTCGTTTTCGTGCCAATTAAAGTTTGGAAAGTGATGGCTTCAACTACAGTTTCCTTAAAATGTCAAATTAAGCATTATAGCAGAATTACATAGGCCCATTTTTCCCAAACATCATTGACCACTATAAGATACGTTCCACAGAATGTCTCGATTCCATGAAAATATACAATTTTAAGTCCGTGTTAACTTTCAAATAAATCACTTCTTCCAACGCGGACAAGAGAAAGGCACACTGGCTTTGAGAGGGCCGAAAAATGGTCCTATAAGGATTTATAAGGTTAAAACCACAATATTTCACTGTTGGCAATCATGCGCCGATTAAGGCGCCTTTTTATCTGACATCGTACCTTAAATGGTCTTGGCATGTCTGGATGCTTCCATCGGTAGTATGGGATGATGGCAAATGACAGGCAGCTAAACAACCAGTTAGGAAAACTCATGTAGTTGAGTATCGTACCGACATCTCCAAAAAGCAGCATGCACACAACAATTGGGAACTACGGTTGGAAGCATTATCAGCGATAATATCTGAGAGATCATTATGACTCCTCAGGAAAAACATCAGAAAAATGCAATTAGGATGACTCACTAGTGAACCTATCGACAGAAAGGATAAGTGTGTTATTAAATCATTGCAAAGCAATTTAAACCTTAAAAAGAGGGCGTTGGGGTCCATGTGAAAACAAGTGTTTTCCTTTTTACTTCCAAACAAACAAGCACCCCAACAAACAAACAAGCACCCCTTTCGCCTCGCAAATTTCCTTTATTTTCTCTTCCTTTCGAATACAAATGAGTACAAGGAGGGATTCAGATTATCTAAAGAACCTCCGGAGACGCAAAAGCTTATTCCCGATTTTGTGTGATGTATCAACGGCATTATATTCATCAGTTCCACAGAGGCCCTTTATGACATGTATTGTTCAGATGTGGAGGAGAAAAAAAACGGCAAGAGCATAAATTTGACTGGGGAAAACGACAGTGATGATTGTGCTTATAAAAAACAGTATAATGTATATCAAACAGAACAAAATCATTACGAAAGCGAGTGCCGCCGGTAAAGGTGTCTTGTAGTGCACGTGGATCATCCCCAGAACTTCAGGCGTGACGCCCTCCTGCGATGACACCATGAGAGACCTGAAAGAAGCAAATTGTACATCACAATTAATAATAGTATTATTAATATTCAAACATATCCTCCAAAGGAAAAAGGTTTCCAAGAGTTTGTTTGCTCCTTACAAGTTGAAAACCGAAAAAGAAATGATTCACTTTATAAATTTTATAAATGCAATTTATAAAAGTTAAATCATTTGCCCAAATATCAACTTTAATGAATTTTGATTTTTATGAATTTTTGAAAAGTTACGAACCTGGCAGTTGCAAATATTGCTCCATTAACACCTCCGATACAAGACAAAGCGACAGCCAACGAACAAACTGCAGACCAAGATCCAAGCACTCGGTCACCAAAAGTCTTTTAGAAAGGAGAAAATAGACACTGTTATAACATTATTAAAACCAGATGGAAAGTATAATTATTTCCATTAGGCCATACAATACTGAATCAATTCTGTTCATGACAAAATGGACTATAGACCCTTTGCATACGTATATGCCCGCGATGTTCAAAGTAAAAAAAACACACACACACAGACAAAGTACAGCTTTTGCGATACAGTGATAAGAGTCACTGCTGCCGTGCGCCAACGCTTATAAAGAAATACGTATACCTTGGCCGATGGCTGATGCTTGCATGTTCACTCCCAACTTTGGATTTCTTAAAATTCTGATACAAATCATGTTTTGCTAATATTCAACCTCAAACTGTATGGTATCACCCGCAGATGTTTAAGTATTTTCATTTTTTTAAGTTTGACAGGTCTACGATCACTTTCAGTGCCAAAATATGATTTTGGACCCCTATGGGTGGAATAATCTACCGTCTGAAGTCTCTTCAAGTTCTTATAGGTTGTCAGTTAGTTACCAAGGCCACAGCATTTGAAGCCAGCAGCTCCACTGGAGAAATGACCACATAGTACGCTACATTGACCATCATGTAAACTACAGTTATGATGGTCATCGATACGATGATCCCTAGTGGAATATTTCTGTGGGAAAAGGAAAGAGTAACGCAGACATAAAAGTATGTCGAAACTAAAAGCAACTGTTAGAGCAATAAATCGATCAAAAGGCCGACAATCGTCTGAAGATTTCAACTTTAGGGATTCATGAGGACGGCCCTAAAAGAGCCGAATCCATCCCCAACAAACCTTATTCCAATATCGCCGCATGGCACTTTTTTTTACTAGCCGAGCCTTTGGGAGTTTTTTAGTAACTCTTTGCAGTCATTTTGAAACTGATTTTGTTAAAACCGAACCTACCGTTTTTGCGCATTGCCAAAATTTTCGTCCGCCAATAATGTATAAATGTTCTTTTTCACTGCAGTGCTCAGTGCACTGCAGGCTGGCATGCGTGTAGCCTTCAACTTCCAATGACCGTAACAACAAAATCACATGTCAGATTGAGTTGAAACTCCACATTGTTTTTTACTGATGAGCAGTTACTGGTTTAAAAAAATGGGCTTTGGACGGTCGAGTTCTAAGGCCCCGGTTGTGAGATTGTCTAATTAAACCCGGCTCTTTGGGTTAAAAATTCTGTTATGCATCGTGCTTTTCGTATTTTGAAACAGGTAAGCAGTAAATTCAACAGCCAACGTTGAGTAATAAATCATTATAAATCTCATGTTATCCTCGGCATTTGGAACTCATTGCTACTTTTTCCTAATGTGATAGTTGCAGACTCATGCAAGTGACCTTAGAAGATGCTGTTCTCTTAGCAACGTTCAAGTTGCCCTCTCTACCTTGATGGATTGATCATCTCTTCAGTGACACAGGGCAGGTATTGCCTATGGAGAGAGTATGAACATGCAATATTTCATAAGGGAATAAATGCGTGCTTGGTCGGTCTTAGGTTTGTCAAAGACAAGATCAAGAGAATGGATGCTGATAATGTGCCAAAGCAATTAAAGGTGAGTTGAAGGGAATTTACAGCCTTCCAGCCCCTATTACATCAACTGTTAGAGACCGGCCACGTGATAAGCTATCGATCAGTAGGAATGGCTAAACTGTTTTGGGTATTCATGAATAATAATTTACAGTCTACTTTTTGCTACGATGTCAATGTAAAATGTACTCACAAAAAGTCTCCAAGCAAAGAAGAAACAAAACAGTGCACATCTAGAAAGCTTTCTGAAAGGGCACAATATGCTGGTATTTAAAGACCGCTACTCTTAATGAAGTCTTTTTAACGCTTTAAGGTGATAGCACAACTCCCTCCTCTCTCGTCCACACAGACAGAAGTTCTGAAACCTTCATTCTTCCACAGTTGCAAACTAACCTGACGGACCAGTGGCGTGTCGGGGGGGGGGGCAACTTGCCCACCTCTGACGCATTCCCCTCCCCAACTATTTTCTCTTTTGTACAGTAGAATAATCGGTACATTTATTTTTCAAATATTAGTGCCACAACCCAAAGAAAACAACACCACGAAATAAAAGCAATGATGTCGGGACCGTGAGTAAGGATTCGAAGTTTTTTCTTCCCCCACATTATGTTGAATATTAAAGCCCCATGCCACATTCGCCTTTAAATCCCTCCCGGCACCAAAAAGCTGGCTACAACGCTGGGACGGATGCGCGTATAGCTTGATTAGATCTAAATTAGGCCTATTTATCAAACAAATGTGAACTGAACTGTGTGAACTGTGAACTGTGTGCTTTGAAAAAAGTCTAATGAAAAATGGGTGTCTCACTGGTGATATCTTACTCCAAACGAAATGATTTGGTAAGGTACATCAGACAATTTCATCACAGAAAATGAGGTTGCTCCCTGGAGCAGTGTTATAAACCTTCTTACCATCCTGAATAAGCAAAGAGACCCGAATAGAAAGCCAGCGGAATCCTCTCTGGTGGAACATCAATTACCGGCGTAAATGCGTTCTCAAAGTTTTCCCCTTGACCTGCAAAAGAGATAAATATCATAACATTTACTGTAACCACGGTATTATGATATCAAAGTTTACAAGCAGCAAAATCGAATGAGAAAATCAGTGCGAGTCAGCACATCCCATATACGGTCTCTACTTAAACCCCACCCAAAGCAACCCCGCCTAACCTATCCCAAACCAACTGACCCAGGCCAATCAATTCAGCTGGACCAAGCAAACCCGATATCCAGCCCAACCCAAGCACGTTCTGGGTTCTACACTGGTGTTAGGGTAAGAAAAGTCTTACACCAAAGTGTTAGCCCAACCTTAACTCAAAATGTTGTTCCGTTCCCTAGAAAGGTTGGTTTGATCCCTTGAGACCCCTTGAATATTATTTAGCTCCTCAAAATAACATTTTGCTTCCTCGAAAAGTTCTTCCACTCGAAATGTTATTTCGTTCCCTATAGAGACAATATTTCATTCCTCGGAATGCTATTTTGTTATCTTAAAAACCGTGTTTTCTGCCTCAGAAACGTTTTTCATTCCCTGGAAGTGCCGTTTTCCCCCTTAAAATGTTTTTGTTCCATTAAAGTAATACCGTGATCTCTCCAAATTACATTACATTCCCTCAAAATTATTTTGGTTCCCTAGAAATGGTGTTTCGTTCCTTCGAAATGTGGTATTGCCTCCTCGAAATGTTTTTCGTTCCTCAAAATAATATTTCTTTCCCTGGAAATCATATTTTGTTCCTTTAAAACACTTTTTCGTTCCCTCGAAGTGTTGCTGTTCCCATCGACATGGAAGCTGCGGCAGACAAAAAAGGTAGTTGTTGTTGTTAGTATATAGTATCAGTAAATAGTAAATAGTATCAGGCCACCCGTCTGCCTTAATTTTTCCGGTGGACCTTTGACGTCTGGTGTTGATGGTCTCATAAGGTACTTCAAAGTAAAGAGCCCGATTCGACGCGAATTTGTACTGATTTCAGTACTGAAACTATCGTTTTCTTTAAAAGTGGTAGGGTGAAGGTCCACCATTCTCTGTCCTTTAATGGGATAATGTCCTCGCTGCCATATCATGTGATAGTAAACTGCCTGCAGATAGTAACCTCCAATTACTCTTGGGTCCAAGTTTGTGCATTTCACCGCAGCTTATCCATGTCATAACTCGCCTTGAATCATAACCATCAACACAACCACAGATACAGTCGCCATCTACATAATATCGTATGTGCTATAAAGAGTCCGGTCCTTTTGACGAGTGAGACCGACGAAGTAACCTCTGTATGTCTTTGCTCAGTTCCCTGAGGATCCAGTATACTAAGGATCACATGAACATCCTCTTCTTTGCAGTGCAGATTGTGTGCCTAGCATTTCCCGTGCATCCATGTATGGTCTGAATGTGCTGTCTGTAAGCGAACAACTTAATCGCATCTTGTACTTCCCCATGGTCGAGTTCGGGCGGCCTGTCCTTGACACGGGTTTCGCGTTCTCGCGCTTGAACGACGGGAACACGACTCAAGAACACTGTTCTTGAAACAGGTACACACACCACCTCCTCCTCTTCAGGGTTTTACACGAACACACGGGAAAACGTGTGAGATTTGATTTTTGAAAAGCTGCAAAAACTATCGAGATGGCTTACAAAACTGGAGACAATGGAAAGTTTTGCATAATTTACATCAATAATTTTCCATGACAGATATGATTTTTTAATGGAAAAGAAGTTAGCTCAAACATTTACTCTCGAAGAATGTACGAGGACGCCACCATGTTGCATGTTTGTTGCATGTTGCTTGCATGCTGCAAGTAACTAATAGCGACAACCGGTTGTACGTTCCCAGCGTTCGAGCGGCCGAGCCACAAACAACAGCAATCGCGGCGAAGTACACCGTAATTGTGGCTTATATATCTTCCTTTCACGCGAAAACCGACTGATAGAAAAAATGACATTGTATGGAAAAAAATCATGCCGCAGAAACAAAAAAGAATTTTCGTGTGGCCAGGCTTCACGTACAAACGTTTGCACAAAGAGACGGAAAAGCCGTAGATGAATGCCCAGTCACGACTGAAGCCAAAAGAGCACCTCGGCAAAGATGTAAAACCCTCAAACAACATCACACGCCGGAGCCGGGACGCACCCATGAAGTATCATTCAATCAAAATACACCAACTCAGCTCAAGTTCAACCGACCGATCTTGCCGTACCTTACAAAGGTGACACAAACCGTGGAGGTGCTTCACACCCTCCGACCGAGAGACCGTTGTCATGCGCACAACGCCACATGAGACTCACGTGGACTGCTGAACCACAGGCAAAAAGCCTGCCGGTCTGGTGCAAGCGACAGGAGTTAGCAAGGCTGTTCCAGATCCAGAAAGTGTGATGTCGATTCTATTTCCAAATCAGCAGATGAAACCAACTCTGAGGACAAGTTCGATCAGATGGTCATCAGTCGAATCCTCGTGTCTGATTTAAATTGCACCTTTGTGTCTCAGCCTTGTTTTCAACTTTTGTGTCACTATTCCAAAGGTCTTTTTTTCAAAGGGTATATTACTGCCTTTGGTTTCATGCTAAAGAATATTTCCAACTCATAGTTGTTCATGTGCATAGCAATAAGCTCGCGTTGGTCCTTTTCTCAGAAATGTTCTCAGAAAGTAAATGCTGGCTTGACAATTTTGATAGAAAAACCTTTGCAAAGAACTGTGTCTTCCCTGGATGACATCCCAGCAACAGCGCCCTCACGTATTCAGGAAAACATGCAGAAAGTGCGCTTTTCATGGCATTCAACCAAATAAGAATGGAAAAGAGTTTTTATTGATTGAAGAAGAGTACAATGCTGCTCTGAAAAAAAAATATGAAGGTTACACCTTAAAGTTACACCTTCCAAGTACCTCTGGTGTTAATTTTGTCCCCCTTTTGCCCCATGGCAATTTAGCCCACCGGTGATACATTTAGGTATTTTTGCTTGTCAAAAAGCTATCAAAATGCCAAAAAAAAAAAAAAAAACACACACAAAAACAAAAACAAAATAAAACAAATATTTAATACGATTAAATAACTATATGTTTCTGCAAGAGATCAGAAAAGGCAGTAATCCGTATTCTACAGATACCACTACGGCCACTAAATCTTATGCCGCGACGACGTTGGGCCAAGTTGATCCGCTGATTGCCTCCACCTTGCATGGTCTTGAGTGAGTGCCAGGGCGTCCTTCGGCTGGAGATTTGTCTGCTGGGGGTCTTGCTGCAACTGGACGACGTCCTTCAAGCGGCTGTGGGGGCGACCGCGAGGACGGTTCCAGCCGGACAAAACTGAGTCAATTAGCTCTGGTAGGGGTAATGTACTGTCAGTGTATGCGCGAAAACAGTCGAAATAAAACATGGGTGCTAGACTTCTAACATTGCAAGAGAGACACGTTTACCGGGGACACATCTACCGTCAAGCCGCAGAGGATTACAAACTTATTTGGAGGGGAACATATTTACCTGTGTAAATGTGTCTGCAGGGCAGAGAGTTTTACCGTTCCCACCGCACCCATCACCCAAAAAGGAAAAAAATAATGAAAATAACAGTTTTGACAGAAGGAAATGCTATTTGAAGGTTGCAAAAAGGAATGGAAATAAGTAACTTTGTTCCTGTTCGCACTCCGTATGTGCAGAGCAATGGCAAACGTTTCATATTTGAGGGAAATCTATTACTTCATACCTTGAATCAAAAGGACAAAGCCTGCAATGATGATGATGACTAGCCCAAGAACCTTGGCGATGCTGAAGACAATCTGAACCCGATTGCTCCACGGGACACTCACGCTATTCAGGCAGAGCACGGTAGCTACAGAGATACAAATCAGTTTTTGTTAAGCTGTCGTTTATTCCTTTGACTAAAACTTAACAACCATGTAGGCTCCGAGTGGACGCCATATCTGCGTTGACACTGCACTCACACATTGTTCAGCTTGACGCGCGCGTGCATTGGCACTCATTATAAACGCGTCTTTGCGTTAATTGTAAACACGTAACCCTTTAAAGTTAAACACCTTTTTGGAAACAAGCATGTTTCGATGTCCAGAAAGTGTAACCAACTGATCAACATGCTTTTTGTCTTGTGAAAAAACACCCAAATGTGTCATTGTGTCTCAATATATCAACACATTAACACGCATTTGTTCCTAACGTGTTTAGCTTTGGAGTATGAACCCCACAACACGTTCATACAGCAGTGAGGTGTTTAAAAGGCGTTGAAGCATAATCACTTGTTTTTACATTCCATTGGTCAAAGAGTCATGTATCGCGCGGGTACCAACTATCTAATAGATTTTGTCACTGTGGTAATGCTTCTAATTCTTGTTGTCGAATCACACAGCAGGAAGTCAGTTTTAGTGAAACTGCAAGGCGAAAAGTTACTTTTACTTTGTAGCATAAACAACTTGAAGCCATCTCACAAGAGGGCGTTTCTCCTCAACATATGAAATGGCGTGTTGAAAACAGGCAGTGGAAATATGGTTAATAAGAAAAGATTTGTTGTAATAAATCAATTTTTTGGTAAGCCCCACTTTTTCCTTTCAATTCTTTTATTGATTATTTATAACTTCGGCCTTGAAAAAGATTCTGCTGCCCGAGATCAACTTGTTTAGCTTTCCATACTTATGTAAATTAATATATACAAATTCAGTTCCCTTGACTGACTGCTTCCTAAGACAGTCAGTTCCACCTTAGGAGATCATTGTGAAAGGGACACTTTTTAATGTACCTAGCACTGTCGTTCCTAACAGCTGGATGAGAACCCTTGGAATGGTGCATTCCCCAAAGAAAGGTCCGGTCAAATACGTGGCTGCAGTGATCATGAGTATAGCGCATGTTCCCGTGCGGGATGCGATGGTCAATGTGTAGATTCGTAGAAATGCCGGCACAGCGCCGAAGCTCTCCAGGAGGTAGGTGAAATCGCCTCCAGAACGCGGGATCATGGTCCCCAGCTCGGCGTAACACAAGGCTCCGATGGTCGAAAGTACACCGCAGGCCACCCAGACTAAGAGGGACAGACCCACGCTGCCGGTGTTTCGTAGGATACCTTTAGGGGAGATAAATATCCCCGAGCCGATGACCGCGCCCACGACCAGAGCGATGCAACCCCACAAGCCAATCTGGCGTTTGAGCACAACTCGATCCCGACTGGGTTTGCTGCTTTTCAGCGAACAAACCTCGCCCGTCTGGTGCTCCAGATCACGGGATGAACTCTCTCTGTCGTCTTGCTTCATTGTATTCTCTGATTTGATTCTAAAATCACTGCATAAAAGTTTCTTTTTTCATAGCTAGTATGAATTATCCACAGTATTTCAGTCGGTGGGGTGCCTTATCGCTTTAGTGATACTCAAAAAGTACAAGGGTGAAGTTTTTAAATGTTGGACAAAGTACATTAAATTAGCAGGTCAAATTTTGAGATTATTCTCCCCATATTAACGTGCATCTTGGATTTTATTGCTACTCTAAAAGCTTTAAGTCACATAAAGGCACATTGTTTTCATGAAGTGTTGCATGTACAAATCCATACAATCCATGTTGGGTCTTATTGAGACTAATAATTTTGTATGCAAATTATGGAAGCTTTAATGTGCACAATTATAAAGTTGTAGGCTCATTTGTAAAACTAAATCACAACGAAGGGCGGAGTTATAGATATTTATACATGCCGAAGGCGACATGACTTAGGGAATTATTTTGAAATGTTTTCCGATCGCACGGTATAAGAACTAACGCAGCACACGCAAAATTAGTAATCAATATACACGCAAATCAACTGAACCGACTATACTTATTGTGTGAAACTGCCCGATTGAGGCTCTGCATACCTATGGCGGCAGCGAGCAAATAGCCATGTATATATGCCTTCGGTTATATTTTCGTTACTGTGAGTGCTTCTGTTTTATGCAACAAAATTAACGTTAAATAGCGGTAAGTGCCTTTGTCCGCCATGTTTATTCCTGACGTTCTCCATCCACTCCCCAGTAAGTAAGGAGTGAGAATCCTATTCGCAAACAATGTTCGCGTGCTATTCTTGTCATTAGAAACCCTGTTTTTTGTGTTCGTTCAACATGAGAAGTGGTTTCGAAGAATACGCCCATTGCTTCAAACATAATGGATCAGCTCTTTCAAAATGTCTGCTACAAAGCTTCACAAGGCAATACTGACAGCAAGTCATTTTGCTCTCTTGAGTCAGTCAGCTTGATCTGCTTTTGGGTTTTCTTACTGAAATTGATTGTATAAAGGTTCAGATACAATATACAGTACATAACCAAGCGTGGGTTAAACTGACAAACTTCTAGATGAAATAAAAATTAAGCAATCTAACTTTACGCCATTCCTAAAGACAACATAGACCTTTCCAAATAATTTGCTTTTTATCGATACAATCACGAGAGCATGTTACGCTTTAATAGTTTATATTCTACGTTGGGGCTATAAAATATAAGCATTAAACACAAATGTCTTCAAAATTGAGACAATGGCATTTCAGTCATGTCCTCAGTAATTGCAAGATAATGACAAGTTATCCGGTCTCAATTAAAGGCAGTTTTCAAACGGCCTGTGACGAAGTTGGTCCTTTCGACAGTGTTCATTATATGGTTTGGTTTGTTTTTACCAGACCTGAACTTCCATTTGTGATCTGACTCGCGATGACACGGGTTTTCATTCATCCTATTTTGGCGCCAGCATGTTAGGAATGGTACTTCCACCTTTCACAGCTTGTGAGGGATTCTTTTTTTAAAATGTTACTGCATGCCCCTTCGCTTCAGAGCAAGAACCTTGATGTGTCACTCCTTCCAACTGGTTTTTTTCTCGCGTACTCTTATCCTTACCAAAAGACAAACCTATACGCCCCTTTGATAGCCCACACGTTCAAGAGTATGGTGCACTTAAGTGGAATACCTTTGGAACCAAACCTTAGTTGTTATCTACAGAGTGCCGTTATTTGAACGCAGGATGCCCGGTGAATTGTGTTAATGACAACCATGTAGCGAAGATTCGTTCTATCTTTATTTGAAATCATTCATCTGAGTGCTACTCGTGAAATAGTATTCAGCATGCAAAAATACATTACGGCAGTCTAGTTCCATCTGTGTTGCGTAGACTTGTCACTAGTCTGACTTTGTATCTGGCGGCGCTATCAGGAGGAACCTCTGCAGGACAGACGTTAGTGTGTCTAAAGAAATGAAATATCAGGTGATAACTTCGGTTGGTATATCTATCACTGATGAATTTAATAAACATTTTGCATTCAATTAAGACACGTTGCTCGTATGGTACAGTCCTCTGAAAATACACACTGTTTACAGCAGCGCACGCGAGCCCGCCAAGTATAAAGGCCAATAGGCCTACCCCATGCGTGTACTAAAATGGACGCACCGAAAACACCTGCGGTCTGTCTCTGTCAATAAAACGACCTGGCAAGATCAGTCATCCTGGTTTCTGGTTTCCCATAACTCTATCCGTAAGCAAACACTGGTTTGTCCTCCATGCACAAAGAAAGACCTTACAGCTTTTGCTATCGAAAAGAACATGGGCCATTATGCCGTCATCTTACCGATTGCATTTGTAAACCAGCTGGGTTTATTCTCCCACCAAACGAATAGCAGGTAGACTGGTATCCCTGTCACGGTGATGCCGGCCCCGATGCCACATTCAACCGGCGAAGAGTAAAGGGAGACAGCCATTACAAACAAACCGCACGCAATGAAGATGATGGGTAGAATGACGGGAACCTGACCAAAGCAAGAAGTTAGGTTGTTGTGCTTACAATGCTTTGTAGCCCTCATGAAATGGGGAAGGTGACAGAGTATCCTCTCTCCGAAACAAATGAGACATGAGACAAATGGAGCAGCTGAAGAAGGTTGCAACCAGTGGTGTACCAAAGGCATTTTCTTGGGGGGGGGTGCCCTGCCTCAATCTGCCGACTTTTAACTTGCTCACTAACCTCGTGTCGTGAAAAACTAACAAATGACCCGTGCTACACAACATTTCATGCTTCAGGAATGTGGCGTATCCAGCAGAGGGGGAGGCCCCTGATGAAAATTGTTGCATTTTTCAAACGAAGAATGGGTAAGTAGAAAAGAAAGTACATGTATTTGATATATTTATTTATCAAATATTAGCACCAAATCCCTAAGAAAACAACACCAAGAAATTAAAGCAAGGATGTCAAGACCGGAGTCCGAATGAGCCCAAAGATGCATTCGCTTTTGGGTTCCCCCCCCGCCAAATGCTTAATTGATACGCCGCTGCTTCAGGGGAAATACCGACGGGTGACGTATATCGTCTTGTAATTTGCCGAAGCTCTATTTGCCGACTGGAATTAATTATTGGGGGGGGGCGCACTCACACACCCCAAGTCACCACGCCCCTGGACTTGCAACCCTTCATAACCCCATTCAAATTCGCTTAATGACTGACGTTTCTGATGACGCGGGAACCTTGTGGAATCAAGAGATATTTTCATCAGCTGGTAACTGGCGGCTCTCCAGTTGCATTTACAGAATGAATTAAGTGGAATAGAAAACCCACCCCTTAGCCTTTTCCCGGTCACGATGTCACGTATAGTTTTCGTACCAAGTGTTAATAAGTTAGGAAAGTGATGCTTTGCGCACCAATCCAGTATCTTTAATAAGAACTACTATTCCAATGAGGTGTCTTAATTGCGTTCAACAGACTGTAGTGTGCTTCCCCTAAATGGACAGATTCCGTGTACGTAACCTTATAATCACTTCTTGCAAGGCCAATATTCACCCTGGATCCGAGTCTGAGGCTGTCGAAAAAGTGGTCCTTTAAGAAATAAAAAGGTTAGAAAAGTATTGCCTAATTTTTCGCCAACTATACGCCAAATAAAGTCTCTCTTTTTGACCTGTACCTTGAATGGCCTGGGTATGTCTGGATATTTCCATCTGTAGTATGGGATGATGGCAAGTGACACACATATGAATAGCCAGTTGGAAAAACTCATGTAGTTGAGAATCGCACCGACATCTGCAAAGGTCAGCAGGCACACAACAATGGGGAACTGCGGGTAGGAAGCATATTGTCAGTGATTATATCAAGAGACAGTGGGGCAACTGAACCAACTGATGCCAAAATATTTCGAAAATGCCAAGTGACCGTTTCTCAATCGACAGCACATTCACTAGTAAACTTGCCCAGAAATAATACTACGGCTAATACACGCAGGTGTGCTTGTTATTAAAGTGGCATGTTTAACCTTAAAAAGGGGCTCGCTGCAGAACAGATGAAAATCAATTTTGTTTCTTGTTTACTTGCAAACAAACCAAAGGAATTAACCTCTTCATATTGAAACTCATTTCATCTTCAAAATTACAAATTCTTTATACGCAGTAGTGTTTAATTAAATGTTTAAAATAATAATTTTGAAAAAAAAAAGTTACGAAAGCGAGTGCCGCTGGTAGAGGTGTCTTGTAGTGCACGTGGATCATCCCCAGGACTTCAGGCATGACGCCCTCTTGCGATGACACCATGAGAGACCTGAAAAAAGCAAAGCGTCCTTAGGCTAGAGATTAAAAAAACAAACAAACTGTTTATTGGTTCAGGTTAATACAAAATAATTAACTTTTCCGAATGAAAGTTTAATACACCTTGAAGAAAAATTACCAATAGTAAGGGATCATGCAATTACCTTGAAGCTCCGAAAATAGTTCCATTGGCACCTCCTATGCAAGACAAAGCAACGGCCAACCAACATAACACAGACCAAGAGCCCAGGACTCGTTCACCAAAAGTCTTTATAAACAAGAGGAATGAGACGTCAAGGCAAAATGTATGTTTTTTCTTGCAACAAGGAACTCAAATGAAGCGCAGGGTATAATGCACCCATTGAAAATGAAAATTTACCTGGGACTCTGTTCACAAGTACACCCTCTATGTAAAATATGACCAAAAAACACCTATAGAGAGGACACCTGCTGCTTTACGTAAATATTCATTGGGTTACCACAGGCCTATAAGTTGACAAATTATTGTTTGACAACTTCTGGTACCGAGAGGAGGTGATATCAGCCAGCTACCCTTTGACCATATCATGGCTCTTCTGAAGGGGAGAGTTCCTCTGCTCAAGTCTAGCTTCTCAATGAACAGATTTTGTCTTGCTATATTAGTACAGGACTCTATCCTGTCGATCCAAAGATGAAAGTCTATGCATTTTGGTTCAAAATTAATAGGTCCCTACAAGCTGTTTGAGTTTATATACAAAGCAAGAGAAAGAGCGAATTTGAGATTTGGACCAGTAGTAGGGCCTCTACCATCTTCAGTGTATATTCTCTGCAAATAATGAGTTACCAAAGCTACAGCGTCTGAAGCCAGCAGCTCCGCTGGAGAAAGGACCACATAATAGGCTACATTGGCCATGATGTAGATTACAGTAATGATGCCCATCGATATGACGATTCCCAATGGAAGATTTCTGTTTGAAATAGAAATTGGTCACACATTACGTACGAGGCGTTTAAAACCCTGTCGCTCAATGCATCGAGTAGAGTTCAGTAATATCTGGAAATAACGACTACTGAAGTTCAAGAGGGCGGTATTCAACTTTCCTTTTAAAATTTGGTATGGGGCTTGGGTATTCTTGTTTTGACATACAGCAGGCTAGAATAATCAACTGCCATTTCAATATCCCTTACAAATTTGATGACCGATTTATAATGGACAACGCAATATAAGAATGAAGTCTTGTTTTTCCTCGGCATTTTGTACTTTACCACTAACAGTATATTTCTCATTAATAAGAGTCACAGATGAGTTGCATGCATCTGACCTGATGAGATGCTATTCTTTACGAGAAAGGCTTTGCCGTTTACCTGGACGGATTTATCATTTCCTCGGTGACACATGGCAGGTATTGCCTATGGGGAGAGCATGGGCAAGCGGTATTCACTGAATAATTGTTTACAGTCTGACGTTGTCGTGAAGTTCTTCCACAAGAAGTCCCCAAGCAAGGAAGAATCGAAAGAGAAGAATTTCCTTCAATCTTGAAAGCCTCAAAAAGGGGTCCTAATATTACATTTGCGTAAGCGTACCATCAGAGAGGGTATAAGCTCGTCTTTTAAGACTGCGACTGATATCGAATCTTTTATAACACTTCAAGGCGATAACTCCCTTTTCTCCACTGTTCAGATAGACGGGAATTCTGAGAATGACAATTCTCATGCAAGCAAGCAGCCAGTCTAATTTTCATTAGTTGTGATTCCGAAACAATCCCTTCAGCCACCCGTCTCAGCTTCTTCAGATCTAAATTAAGTGTCTTAGCATTAATAGCCTTCTTACCATCCTGCGTAAGCAAAGAGACCCGAATAGAAAGCCAGCGGAATCCTCTCAGGTGGAACATCAGTAACTGGAGTAAATGAGTTCTCAAAGTTTTCAGTTTTACCTGTAAAAGAAATATTATAGTAAAGCCTTAAACAGTAGCAACAAGAAAGTAAAAAGCATCAAAATCTCATGAAGGAAAAACAAATAACATGAAAACCAGAAAGTTCTCACATCGAATACTGCCTCTTCGACCTAGCCGATTCAAACAAAGCTAAACCAACCCGGCCCGACCCCAACTCCACTTATTCAATCCAGCCAATTTAACCCAACCAATCGAGCCTAAGCCACAACCTAATATCCAGTCCAAATTATATTCCAGTTTAACCCAACCCAAACCAACAGTCCTCTAAACTCCCCCCCCCCACAGTAGCATGGGTCGAGTCTACTTGTGAATATCTACCCAAACAGTCACTAGATATAATTTCCCATGCGCCTATTATTATTCGCGGAAAAGATTCGATCATCCGTGGTGCACCATTGACCCCCCGAAAAGGCAATACGGTCTCGTCGCCGTGATTGTCCTTTTTTCGAAAGCAGCTCAAACGGCAGAGACAAATGGGGAGGACGGGTGGAAGAGGACTGTTTGGGTAGGTATTCACTAGTAGACTCGACCAACATTACTGCGGGGAGGCGTCTACGGCGTTCTACCTACCGAAACAGTCAGTACAAAATGCCGAGTGGCACCGTTCTAGGAGGGGGGTTGGCTACGACACATAATGCTAAGAAAACACATTCACACATAAAACAAGGATGAGTGTATAAGTTGAGGAAATAGTAAATGGTATAATAGGGAAGGCAAGGTAGCCGAACTACCATAAAATGAACTTTACGGTAACTTGTCGTCTGTCCGTCCCGCAGGAGGTCCATTTGACATCTGCTCTGTAGGACATCCCCCAAATAACAGGTGGTGAAGGTAGAGGAAGACTTCCAACATGCAGCTTTACAGATATCTGCAATGGAGATCTCTTGAAAGTAAGGCCAAGATACAAATACTGTTTGTACATCATGAGCCCTGGTGTGAAGTTGATTATCATGATCATCAGAGCGTGAAGGCCAGACTGGATTAGCAGATTTAATGGCCGAGGCAATCCAGTGGGCAGCAGTGACCGTCGATGCTGGACGGTGGGGATTCGTGATAGTGATAAGCAACAGGATCATCGTCTCTCTCACACTACTGTCTTTTTGTTAAATACCACTCCATGACACGAACAGAGCACCATGGTTTATCTGCAACGTTTCCAGGATGTAAAGAGACGGAGGGTGCCAAGATGTCGGTAGGATCAAACGAGGGAGTCTGGCCCTTCGTCAGGAAGCCAATAGAGGGAATGAGGCGAGCACCATTGTGGCTCCTAACGTAGATGGCCTTAGGCAACGGGAAGAGCGTGTAGCTCGCAACATCCTCTGGAGGTAACCACTGTCAGGAAAAAGGCCAACCTGACGCTGGTCTGCCCAAGGGGGGTATCATTTCGGGTTCGAAGAGAGGATTGGAATGCATATAGGTCCCGTGACCAGACTAATCTACAGACGAGGGGACATTGGAAGGATGTGCCATGCAACAGGTTATGGAATTTCATGCTATAAGAGACGGCGGAACTGTCTTTGAAACCAACGTGTTTAATAGCCAGGGCTGACCTGTAGATACAAGTTGTGAGTACTTGCAGCTCCGAGTGAAAGAAGTATAAGTATTAAAGTAACCTGCCAGGGAACTCACAGGAGCGTTGGCTGAAGCCAAAGCCTGCCCATCGCACTAGTACGTAACAAAATGTTAAGTTCTGCTGTCATAAGTTCAAAAGGTGGGCAGACGACGTCCCCGTGCGGCCTTAGCTGTAGCATCGCTAGAAAGTCCCGCCGAACAGAACGATGGTTGAACAATTGGACAACAAGTAAGTTGCAGATCGCCGGGACCGGTTGAAGGATCCCCGACGTTGGATAGCGGAGGATGACCGGACTGGGCAGGAAGACAAACGGATGGTAAACCAGAAGTCTTGATAGACTGGAACCCAGGGCTGGAAAGGTCGGAAAGGAGAGATAATGAGTATCCGACAGTAATCTCGATCTCTCTCGGAGAAGACTAGCGAAATTAATGAGATAGAAAGGCATAACCGAGCATGCTGGACCAATCGAACTGTTGGGCATCTGTGGCTCACGCGGAGGAGAGAAACTCTCATGTAGAATACCGGGAGATAGGCGTTGTTCAGAGAAGCGAAGAGGTCGACCGACGTGAGGCTGCTCTATCAAACCGAGGGAAGGCTAGGCCACATCGGAATGAAAAATCTACCCCGTTGGGTGAGCTTACCCACGAGAGAGTGAATCCGCCACTGCGTTGTCGAGCCCTGCTATGTGGATTCTCTGCAGGTTGACTGCATGAACCATTGTTCCTTTCGTCGATGTTGGGAAAGGTGCCGGAGAATGTTGAAGATGGCCTGGATAGTTTCGTGCGTTAATGTGGCTTCGGTCGGCAATGCGAAAGAAGAGTCAAGCAAACCGCACAAAAATCATTCAAAGGCAGAGAAGACATTCTCATCAAGAGCCCCTAGCATAACTTTATACTACTCTGAGGTCTTAACAGAGAGGAGAGCACTCTTTCCACCTCCGTGGAATTTACTCCGGTAAGAGAGAGAAATGAAATAGACTGGAGACCGAGACAAAGACTTCATGAAATCAAGATAAAGTTGGTTTTAGTCCTTAGCGAGCAAGGTGATACTGTTGAAAGGCTTGCTAAGTCGGATGCCTCAGGAATATACCTCAGGATCGTCAGGAAACCCTGGCCGACGGCAAGGCCTTCTTCCTCGTCCAGTAGTAGCTGGAGAAACAGGGGAATATACAGATACCGAAAACGACCCCCTGAATTCAACCGATTAAGACCTGGAATTAATCGGTGGGATAGTCATGGGCACAGCAGGGGCGAATCTCATAGTACCGACGGTAAAAACCTGCACGGTACACACACAAGAAAACTTAAAGAACACAAAATATACACGAAAATAACACTCTTACCAAAAAATAGAAGAAATCGAGGTAACACTTTATTCCAGAATTGGTAATCAAATCGACGCAGAACCGTGTAGCAAAAAACGGGAACTCGATAAATCGAAGGCACCTCGAAGACACGTCCGTTACGTTACAGTGAGAAAAGGACAATCTTGGCGGCGAGACCGCATTGCATTGTGGGAGGTCATGGTGCACCACAGGTGATCAAATCTTTTCACCGAATAATAATAGGCGCATGGGAAATTTGCATAGTGACTGTTTGGTTACGTAGAACGCAAGACGCGCAACGGACGACGGGCGACGACAGATATGGAATTCCATAGTTACTGTAATATCTTTGTCTGTGTGTCATTTTGTTAGTATGACCTTTGGTGTGTTTTGATGTCAATGAATCAAAAAAAAGGTTTTCATCAGATCATGGAGTTCGATATGGCCTGTTATACGCCATGGACTGGTTCAGTGTGGTGTAGTCCCGTCTGATAAGGCTGCGCGATTTAGGTCTACGGCGTCCCCCATCGTCCGTCGCCCATCGTCCGTCGTGTATTGCCTTTCTGAAAATTAAACCCAGTGTTTTTAACGGGAAAAAATTTCCGCAAAAATGTTTAGGCAAACTTATCCGCAGTAAAATTCACTCTTGGCTACCATAAACATGTGCTGACTTGTTTTCATGAAACTCCATAACGAAATCTGCCAGCCGATACACACATTCCATTTTTCCTCTCAATTTCACCTTGAAACCCACAAATACTAGAGAGCAAATTGTTTTTGTCAATTGTGCTTTGGATAAGTTGTGCTGTTTATTGAATGTTATTGGGGGTAATTATTACTTGGTATAGTTTCAGAAAATGTTGGTTTTTGTGGGTGCGTATGTCATGATGGATAGGCCAATGAGCACAGATAGTCCAGTTTAAAAGACTGTGAGCCTACGTGCAACTCAAGTTATGTCTAATTTGGAGCATACAGCAGATTCATCGTAGGTAAACCCGCCCTGAAAATAATGTTCAATCAGTTCGTCTCTTATGAAAGATATTAAGAAGTCAAATACCGTAAGTAATTTATTGTTACATACATAAAGTTTCTCATGTAGGCCGAGAGTATGGTCTGTTTGGGTATCGCGGAAGGACAGACAGGCGTGGCGGATCGATCGAACAAGTAAAAGATCAAGGGTCAAAGTGAAAAATAGCACTGCGCAAGCTTGATAAAAAAAAAAAAAAAGCGAAGGACGACTCAAGACGGACGTCGTGCACCGCCCGTCGGACGTCGAAGCACGACGGGCGACGGGCGACACTTGACGGCAGATATGGAATTCCAAACAGTTACACCATGTTCCAAACCTCAACCACTTAACTATCAACAGACAACCAGTTTTAGAACAGCTAGACTGCGATGTTACAGCCCTTGCACAGTGCGCACATTAAAGTTCGAAAATTAAAGAGGATACATGTACATGCGTGCCACGATGTCACGCTTAAGTACAGTAATGGCGACCTTTTCATATTTTAGGGAAATCCATGACACTGCACCTTGTATCAAAAGGACAAAGCCTCCAATGATGATGATGACTAGCCCAAGAACCTTGGCGATGCTGAAGATAATCTGAACCCGATTGCTCCACGGGACACTCACGCTATTTAGGCAGAACACAGCAGCTGTAGGGATTAAGTACATGTATCAGTATTCTTGCACTGTCGTTTGAAATCGATCACGGCCTATTTGCGTAAAGAAAACTGAATACGGCCTATCTGCGCTGAGGCAGCAGAAATAGGCCTACAGTAAGATTTGTTTTGAAAAATCAAGTTTTTCAGCTAGCTCCAGTTTTTCCTTTTTAATCTTTGATTACCATTTTCATAATAAATATTGTTATGACTTTGGCCTTTGGGGAGGAATCTGTTGCCGAGATTGACATTTTCAGTTTTCCATACTTTTTCGATTCATTATAGTTATGGCCAATTCTGTTCCCTTGAGTGACTGCTCCCAACGACTGTTTGTATAAAGGAAACTGAACGAGGCAGTTCGGTATTTCAAAAAGGCTAGGTCTTACGGGAACAAAGTGCGCGAGTAAAGTGGCGTATGGTTGCGCTGACCACAGACCTATCTGGTTCGTAAGTGACTTCTTCACAAAGGCGGACGCGCCATAATTTGCGGGGCTCCCTTAGGACGGTCGCTGAAGTTGCGCGTTAACTTCCGGTTCCATGATTCCGTGTAAACGGCGATCAATGCATGAAACTCTGTGTGCAGTGCATGTGCAGTGGGCGTGGTTTAAACTGAAGTGATGTCACACTTACGAACCAGATAAACGTTTATTTTGTCCGTGGCGCCAACAGGGCAGACAATCCTGTGCGTGTGCTGCTGTTCCAGAATGACCTCGGACGCGCTTCTATTTGGGCATGCGCTGTTGGAATACCGAGCTGGCTCATAACAGCTGGTTCGACCTTTTACAGATCATTGTACGTTACCAAGTACTGTCGTTCCTAATAGCTGGATGAGCACCCTTGGAATGGTGCATTCCCCAAAGAAAGGTCCGGTCAAATACGTGGCTGCAGTGATCATGAGTATGGCGCATGTTCCTGAGCGGGCTGCGATTATCAATGTATAGATTCGTAGAAATGCCGGCACAGCGCCGAAGCTCTCCAAGAGGTAGGTGAAATCGCTTCCAGAACGCGGGATCATAGTCCCCAGTTCGGCGTAACACAAGGCTCCGATGGTAGAAAGTACACCGCAGGCCACCCAGACTAAGAGGGACAGACCCACGCTGCCGGTGTTTTGTAGGATACCTTTAGGGGAGATAAATATCCCCGAGCCGATGACCGTGCCCACGACCAGAGCGATGCAACCCCACAAGCCAATCTGGCGTTTGAGCACAACTCGATCCCGACTTGGTTTGCTGCTTTTCAGCGAACAAACCTCGCCCGTCTGGTGCTCCAGATCAATGGATAAACTCTCCCTGCCGTCTTGCTTCATGTTAATGATCTTCGTTGTGTGATTAATCAATATAACAGCGAATATAACAGTGGATAGTACGTGTACTTGTTTTCAACGCTTGCACGGGTTATCCTCATCTGCGCTGAATCAAGGTGGGTGGTGTCATCGCTTAAGTGGTACGCTGGAAAGCACAAAGGTAAATCCAATAAAGTTGGGCAAAGTCCGATAAGAAAGCCACTTTCTGAGGTCACTTTTTGTTATATCTCCATGCATTTGGGGTTTTATTGTCAATCTCTAACCTTGAAAACATGTTAAGTACTCTTATGGTACATTTCATCACTGCCTTTTATACTCCATCAGCAACGTTAATAAAAAGAAAAGAAGTCAGTAAGGGTGAGCAAGCGCAGATGGAAAACGTTTAACGTTTAGTGTAAGAACGCAAGGCTTGAAAAATTGTTAAAGGCGGGATTATTTCTTCAAGTCAAATTTGTATTTGTCAGTTTTTTTCATTTCAAGATTTTGGGTGTCTCCGGGTGAATACCATCATGCGAGCATGCAAAGCTTTGATAGTTTTAATGTGCTACAGAACAAAGAGATTGTGAAATGTGAGCATTATACACCAATGTCTTCAAAATTGTTACATTTGTTATTTTAGTCATGTTAGAATAATTGTAAGATCCTTACCAATAACCCAGTATTAATTTTAGCCTGCTCCATAACCGTCTGCGACAAAGATATAACTTTCTCAGTCTTGTTTTTTTGACCAAACTTAAGATTCCACTTGCAATAGAGCGTGAAAGTTGACCACTGATGGCGCGCTTCCAAACCCCTTAAATAGGAAAAAGTAATGTGCACAAATTTTAGAATTTGCCATATTTTTTCATTCAGTTACTGCCTAAAAAATCCAGCTCCTTAAAAAAGTCTTTGGAAATATTTGCCAGCATATCATTTAATAGAAAGTGAAATATTACCTGTCCTAAAAGAGAAATATCCTGCCAAAAATTGATCCATCACTTCGGAAAATCTAGAATACATGAAGAACAGTGTAATTTGGTGGTTTCGTACGCAGATGAACATTTAAGGAATAAAATTTATGGTAGTCTGCCTGTAAAAGCCAAAATAAAAACAGATTTTACGGAATGCTTATTTTATAAGGTAATCGACTTAAAGCAATAATCTACTTTTACAAAAGATTCTAATATTTTATCTAACCTTTGCTGACACGAACTGCGTCGTGTCATCTCAACGGAATCTGGAACCTGCCGCGATTACTGCAGGTAGGCCTAGGTATCCTAAGTCTTTGCAACGTTGTACAATTTCGTTTTCACGTAAGTACGGGGAGTGAAAACAAATGTGCATGAACAAGGAGACCTGGGAACGATATTGCCGGAAATTAAAGGTCGTTAATGAAATTCGTTGTTACCCGTCTCCAGGGGACTTTTTCTAAATATTACTTGAGGAAGACAAATTTAAAATTCCAGCATGAGTGTTTGATGGGATGGTTTCAGTTAGGAATCATTCTTCATCATTCTTCAAAAAATGATAGGACGGCCCAATGCAAAATCCCCATAGACAGACGGCACAAGGGTTCTGCAAGGTTGCTGCGTGACTTTTTACTTCCAGGCTCTATTTGACCAGCTACGATTAATCTGTATGTGCGGTGAAATACTTGTGAAATCAAAGTTTCCAGGTACGTCTTCAAATAATCTCCCGGAATACGTGTATTTGATTTGTACAAATTACGCGAAGCGTCAGTAAGCAGAATCATCCGTAATACTGTTTTTACCAGTAAACAACGGTACGTAATACATGCATACAAGAGTGAGCAAGAAAACAAAACTAAAATCACTAAATGAGTTTTACTAAAATTACTTTCCTCGATGAGCTTAAACGTATTAATACATTTCTTGATTTACAAGTAACATACATGAATATTTCGGTTCCAACGACGAGGTGAGTTTGCTGAAACAGCTTTTGAACAAACTGGTTATTTAATTAAACGAAGAAATAAAAAGAACAATTTATATCCATCCAAAAAGATACAAGGTTTATTTCAAATGTGATAAGAGTTTCAGACGTGACGTGTCTGACATAACTGCGCTGGTCAGCAAACCAATGTTGTGTTGGGATCCTTTGTCAAGTCCAGTATAGCATTCTACTTGCTGACAAAGAGATCTGCTAAAAATATTTATGTTTTTTCATAGTTGTAAGTTGCCAATCACATGGTAGAAAGACCTCTTAGAGTGAAGGTTCTCAGAAGAGATAGAGAAAAATAAAATAAAAAGGACAGTTAAGTCCAATGAGAAAAGTACGTGCTAACGTTACATTTAAAGACTGGATAGGTTAATGAATAAAATCTGGTACACCTATATCTGATTGCAAATAAACATAACAATTTTTGAATTCTCCAGACTAAATACCCTGTTGCTATGCCCCGTGATTCGGGGAAGGCTTTTGCATAGCAACCACCACTTCTCGAAAGGCCGAGTTCCTTTGTACCCTTCTCATCCATTGAAAACAGTGTATCCGTGCAAGGCGACCAAGCAAAAGCTTGCCCCAAATTAAGAGGTATAGAAACAGTGTTTTTAGATATGGAGAATTCGAATTGTTATGTTCATGGAAATTTTAAGAAATCAGTGTACCATATTTCATTCAACTTTAACTCGCAAAAGGCTTATTTTTAGGATGGCACCCATAGCAGGAGAAGATAATTATAACTTCCACATTCCGAGTATTGCCAATTTGTTGTGAAACCTACTTTATTAACAGCACTGGGTAGTCGGATCAGATGGTGAATGACATTAGAGAATCAATAGATGCTTGTTAGTGTGTTATATTTTTCTCTGTACAACAGTCAAAACAGTGAATGAAATTTGAGTGAATACAAGTAAAAGTGTGGTCAAACTGACCCAATCTAATTCTTGAAAAAAAAAGAAAAGACACCACAGAATCAAATCGATATTTACAGGACTGTATTTACAGAGAACATGCAAAACGATGCACGTTTTGTGAGAAGTCTTGTATCAGTGACAAGTATCCAAATCCAGACAAAGACAAGACGAACTGACTGATATTCAGAGAGCAATCTGTGTTTTTTCCACTGCGAGATTTGGAACAGTTTTCCCATTGGCGTTTCGAGGATAGTGCATCAGGCTATGTTTCGCTTTCAGTCGGTCCTTTTATCCTCAGGTGCTATCAGCAGGTAACGCTGGAGGAAGCACGTTACTGCATCTGTTGAATCAAACAACACGGGGTCACTTCAAGATCAGAACTCAGGGGCCATTTTTCACAGGGGTGCTTCGCTGAAATAATGTGCTAATTGCGCGGAAAATATTTGATATTTTATCGGCCATAAATGTCAGTGTATGTGTAATGTTCGTGACAAATTCTCTGTAATTTTTGCATAGTATAATAATTCGCTTAGAACGATTTTCTTCAAAGCAGCTCTGTGAAATTGGATCCAGAAATGCACTTACGATTTTATTCTGTCCGCTGCTGTGTACATAACGGGGAGAAAGTGGTATGAGGCGTGTTGCCTTGAGAAGTGTGCATAGAAAGGAAGCGCGTATATACAAAATGGCCAAACTTTCACCACCTTACCGACTGCATTTGTAAACCAGGAAGGTTTCTTTTCCCACCAGACGAATAGGAGGTAGACTGGTATTCCCGTCAAGGTGATGCCAGCCCCGATGCCACAATCCACGGGTGAGGAGTAGATAGACACCCCAACCACAAACAAGCAGCAGATGATGAAGATGATCGGTAGGATGATTGGCACCTGTCCAGAAACAATTAAATGTTATTATTAAAGCGGTTTTTCGCAAAGTTTTTGCGTTATTTTGCAATGTTATTGCGTTATCTCGTGATAAAAATATTTTTGCATAAATCAAATTGGCACTGACGGGCTTCCGTATGATGTTGACTGCAGCAAGGAGAATTCTATTAATGTGACTGGTATGGCCATTCCTGGCAGTGGAGGTGGCCTTCATATTTCACTACAACAGCGTTGAAAAGGGTCTTGTTATTGCAATGGGCTTACTAACAACCCCTTACGCTTCGTTTTTAACATATTTTAATTGCCGTCAGTAGCCGCTTTGGTGAAGCCGAGCGACGTGAGTCTGTGGCCTTTGACCTACCTTGAACGGTCGAGGTATATCTGGGTACTTCCACCGGAAGTAAGGTATCACAGCAACTGCTATGGAAATGAACAGCCAGCGGGTGAAGCTCAGGTAGTTGATCAGTGTGTTGATATCTGGAACCATCAACATGCCTATCACAATCGGAAACTGTTCCAAAAAAAATGCATTTATGGACATTTTTTCAATCATCTAACTGGAACACGAGAAATCTACATATAAATTCACAAACAGATGCAGCGATAGTGGTAGCCTACATTTTGAGCAAAGTTGGAGTCTGCGAACTCATTCTCTGCAGAAGTATCTCAACGACGCAAACAAAAGAGGTGCCTGACTTTTAAGTGCTGTAGCCGTTGCGTGCCCAGCACCCGGTGGAATACGATGAGGGCGTGTGCACCTTCACAGGTAAATTAATTTGCGCACGTTGCCTGTGCAAACCAATAATATTGAACGTGCCCTTTCACATCTAAGCTCTTGGAAATTGTCACAAAGTGCGATCTAATACCGAGTCAATAACCTATCCCAGGAGGACTGATTCATCGATTTCCACGTCGATGACCAGCTGGGCCTGTGACAAACAATCAGCTACTTGAAGTAGTTAGTCGTGCTTTTCTTGCTAGCATGTCACTTGCCACACGGGAATCCACCTCTGCCACTCGGGTCGACGAGATCTCACCTCGGTCAGCATGTTTATTGGGTTTTTAGTCCCTGCCGCATGATAGATTTCCTACCACCTCTAAAAGTGGACATTTCTCCATTCTTTGTCACTTCAATCTGTAATTGGTTCTGATTGCGTTGTTGGATAAGCATGGTGTACGGAACCAGGCTGTCGCTGGTTCTGACACTCGTGAGATCTTTACAGTCTTATAAATGCAGAAGTAGTTATTTAGTTAAATTCTTACGGTGGCAATTGCAGCTGGCAGTGGAGTCCTATTGTGTACGTGGATCATGCCCAAAACCTGTGGCATTAGGCCCTCTCGCGACGACACCATCAAGATCCTGATTTGAATGGAGTCGAATCGAATCAAGTCGGGTCAAGTCAAATCAAATCAGGGCAAATTAATCCATAAAGTTAACTCAAAGTTCAACATTTTTTGAGACCAAAACGTAAATCAGTTATTGTAACGGTCGACGAGGGGCCTGCAACTGTGAAATCTATACCTTTATGAAGATATCCTATGATTCAGAACTGTAGAATCAGGAAAGTAACAAAACTTTCTCTGTGTGATAAGTGGTAAGTTAATTAATGTCAAATGGTTGAGGTAAATGGGATATAACATCTGCTTACCTGGCAAAGGAGAACAACGCGCCATTGAGCGATCCAATGCAGGAGAAAGCGACAGCAACGGATATGATTACCGACCAGGAACCCATGACACGCTCCCCAAATGTCTGTCATAATTGAAAAAAAAGTCGAATAATAAGTAAACCGATTCTAATGGTCGCTAAGGTGACCAAAGCAATGTACTCTCGAACATAATAATTCCACATCAAATTGTAAAGTGCAGTCAACATTAGAACCAAAAGCCTCTACGTGTGAAGTTATAGGTAGAAGTTTAAAAAAGGAGGCACGTGTTGGTTCTGAAGTATACGATTTTGATTTCATAGGGGAGAAGTTACCAATGCCACTGCCTCTGACGCTAATAGTTCTGTCGGAGAAAGAACCACGAAGTACGCCAGGTTGGCCAAGATGTACACGCCCGTAATGATGACCATCGATATGATGATGCCCAAGGGAATGTTTCTGCCCAAGAGGAATAGAGGAACTTTTTAACGTAGATTTGAACCAAAGCGAGTATTTTGCGTTGTTGATTGTGCCAGACTATAAGGTGATCATCAGCAACAAATTAATGATGCATGTTGATTGGCAAGATGCAAGGTTTGAGCTCAGGAAAGTCTCGACACGAATTTTGCATCAAAACATAAAGATGTACTCCTATCAATGCATTTAACTATATGGAAATAATTGACCGGATGAGCTTCATTATATAAGCTTAAATTGTTCACGTGTCGGCGCTATTTTAACGCCCTTGATGACGTTGTTGCTGCAATATCAGTTTTTTAAAATTTACTTACAAATATTGTACCTGAGATGTGGCTAATTGGTAAAAATTTGTGTGTACAGTTTAATCACAAGTATTGTTCATGTCCTGTCAACTAAAACGGTAAAAAAGAGACTTAACCATACACACAAAAGGAAACATCACAATTGGCCATGTGTTCTGGGAAGGTGGCAACTTAGGCCTCCTTCAGCATGCCTGTAGCATTATATATACGCTATAAAGGCAGTCACAATTATTGTCAGCAGGTGGACCGACTAACGGCTTAATAGGCTCACATTTGGGGGTATTTGGGCCTGTGCATGGGTTGTGTTCATTCCTATTTCAAAGGGGGGGGGTGAACATTGGCTTGGAGGGCGGCATCCCAGTCACCCCCACTTGGATCAACAGGGTCTGTGCCACCGAAAATGTTCAGACAAATTACAATCACTATTCAACGCAGACACCGTTCATTTCTCGCAACTAATCCATATACTATATCTTTGCAGTGAAAAGACTTGTGTGGAAAGTATAGACTTGACTGCAGCTTACCTGGCAGGATTCACAATCTCCTCTGTAAAGCTGGGCAGAAATTGCCTATGAAAAAAAGGACATCATGACAAAACGACATACTGCAGGAAACGAAAACGTAAGGTATCGTTAAGTCGTAACACCGAATGATGAGATTAGAAAACAAATAATTGGGGCATGAGCTTTATTGAGCAATCAATGGCCTCTGAAATTCAAACATGCAGTTTTCTGGAAAGTTTCTTTTCGTTTTTCTCTTCAAACTCTTTCAGTACGATTTTGGGGTGGTAGAGGGAGACCTGTAGGGGTTGCAATTTCCATTGAATCAAAACGTAATGAAAAAAAGGGAAAGTTTGTGAGAAACAAACGTTTTGAAAGAAAAGAGGAACGTGGTGAGAGAAAAAAGAGAAATGTGGTAAAAAAAAGAGAAACGTCGTGAGAAAAAAGAGAAACGTTGTGAGAGAAAAAAGAGAAACGTTGTGAGAAAAAAGAGAAACGTTGTGAGAGAAAAAGAGAAACGTTGTGAGAAAAAAAGAGAAACGTTGTAAGAAAAAAGAGAAACGTTGTGAGAAACATTTACTTCAGTATGCATCTCTTCCAATTCCATTTAAGTTATTGCCACTGTGCTGTTTAGGGGTTGACTGTCCCTGCAGAGTCAGATTAAACTTCGCTTTCTCTTGCAAAGAACATAGGCTCAAGAACCAAATTTTGATGCTAAAAGATGGAGATTTCTTTACATAACTTTTACACTTAGGCCTCAGGCTAAATTCTGGTACTTTTCTTTTACTTTTCAAAGGACGAAAAATGAAATAGCATCCACAATGGCTTTGCTCTTGTTCTTTGGAAGTGAAAAAAGCACTTGTTACTGTTTAAGGGCAGGCATGGCCTCGTTGCCCCGATCCCCAATTCAGTGATCGATATTATCGAAAAGAGTGAGGTTCCCAGATTAGTAATGGGTATTCTTTCGATATGCATCCACACATTTTCCAACAACGTTAGGCCCCAGATTCAGTGAGGGATAATATTATCTCCGCATTTCAGACCAATTTAGGAAACCTATCGGAACTGAATAATACGTGCGCAATAGGGCCTATCTTTCGGAACAACTGGTTTTGTTCCAAAAGTTCTTGCCAAATATTTTAGATATCGGATTAGGTTGGAGGGAATATGTTTTCTCTCTGTAAAATTTAAAGATGATAAACATAATCATGAAAGTAATATTTAAAAAACCTAAATTATTTTATTTGAAAGCAAAATATAAAAATTTAGGCAGAAACAGGGGTTCATTTTCGTAATACGTGTACTCGCTGTCTAATGAGCATAGCCAAAAGGGGGAAGTTAAATAGCACACAGCGCCAGAATGTCTGGGCTATGTTTTAGTGTTTTAGTCTGCTAAAATTGCTCTCCAACGATAATTGGTTCAAGTATAGATGTAAAAGTCTGGAGGAGGACTGTCAGAGTTCTTTTACCATCCGGAGTAAGCGAAAAGACCTGAGTAGAACGCCAGTGGTATCTTCTCCGGTGGCACTTCTATTGCCGGGGTGAAACCATCTTGTAAGTTTTTGACGTTACCTTTAAGGGATATTAAGGTATGGATGTTAATCGTCAAAAAATGCTCAAACAAATATTGGAAATCTAATATATTGAAATGAAACCACAATGCCTTATCAAATCCATCCAACCCAGTTCTGCTGCACCAGAACCAAACCAAATCAAGTCGACCAAACGGAACCGGATCGAGTCAGTATCGGCTTGAGAATACTGCCAAGATGAAAGCAGACGAATAAGAGTCATCGGTGCCAGTGTTGTAGTCGCTGAGACTGGTCTTGGCCTCGAGACCA